CCAGGATGGAGCCTGAGGCTCAGCGCCACTTAGGGCAGAGTTGGCTTGGGATTCTTTCCCTCTTCCTCTCCTTTTCCATCTGCCCCTCCACCTGCTCGTGCGCGCGTGCTCTCTCTGAAATAAATAAATAAATCTTTAAAAAAAAGTACAAAGAGATATCGAAAAGGAAAATGAGGGAGAGGGAGAAGCAGACTCCCTGCTGAGCAGGAAGCCCAATGCGGGGATCCATCTTGGGATCGTGACCTGAGCCAAAGGCAGACACTTAACTGACTGAGCCACTCAGGCACCCCAGGAAAATAAGTTCTGCAATGGAAATACTATTGCATAAATCATATCTTAGAATATTTTTATTTTTAAATTTTTTTTCCTTAGAATAATTAAAAAAAACCTCAAAACATTGTATTACTTATTATTATTGTATTTACCTCCAACAAGCTCCTCAAGACTTGGCACATGAAAAGAATACTCAGCACAAGCCATTTCTTTCTTCTTTAGGTATCAGGATATACACACAAAACTATGGTAGGCTAATGACCAGAAGAGTTTGCCTATGTAGTCTAATGATCACAAGAGTTCACTGTGCACCATGCATGAACAGCTGTTGCTCTGGAAAGGAACACAAGAGTTCAGTTATATAAAAAGGGCAAAAGGGCATTTATGTTTCTTTCCTCACAGAAAGGCAACCAGTTTCCAGTATTTAACATTCCAAGTGAGAAATGCCCAAGTAACCTTTTTTTAATACTGATACTTTAAAGTCAACACTTAAAATAGATAAAAGGAAATGCCAAACTAAGAAGGCACATGATTCATTTTCTTTAGTCATATATGTGGATCGAACATGCAGTTTTCTAATGGTTGGTCTAAGGAACATAGGTCCTGAAGCAAAAGGTAGTTTTTAAGGTTTATAAGTAACTATTTAAATGGTTGTAGATAACAGTATAAGACGCTCAAGTAATTCATAGATAATTTGTGTTTTCTATTCTATATTTGACATTTAGGCTAAAACTTAAACAAGTTTCTTAGGCTATTACTTTTATAAAAGAAAATTTAAATTACTAAGAGAAATGCAAACTTCTACAAATGAGTAGCTATTGAAATTCAAATTATTACTTTTACTTACAAATAAATAAAGATACTTTCTTGGTAAGCAGCTTTAATGTTCAATTATTCTGATAACCTAACCAATTATAGTTTGATGTTTTAAAAATATATGCTAAGCATATTTTACAATAAGTAGGCATATATACACAGAGATTAGTATCTTACCTTAAGTGTTCAGGTGATAAGGTACGCAAGCAGAGCAAAGTAAATAAAATGAAGGAAAAAAAAAAAGCAAAAATAATGTGAGGTGGGCAGGGAATCCCACTCTCAGCCAGTTGCAACAAAGAATGCAAGCAAAACTCTTTTAAGAGTGTTTCTAAGAGCACTATTCAGATTCTCATTAAAATTGTTAATGGAACACCTCATTAATTATTAATCTCAATAGTCTCTGATACAAGCTTATTTGGTAAGTGAAAGGTGGTCTTTCAATATCACTTGGAAAATACCCCCACCCCCACTTTTTAAAAAAAATTTTCCAAAGATTCACAGGTTTCTTAGAAACCAGGTTTCTGGTTTTTTGTTTTGTTTTACGATCTTATTTATTTATTTGTCAGAGAGAGAGAGAGAGCACACAAGCAGGGGGAACGGCAGGCAGAGGGAGAAGCAGGCTCCCCGCTAAGCAAGGAGCCTGATGCGGGACTCCATCCCAGGACCCTGGGATCATGACCTGAGCTGGAGGCAGATGCTTAACCAACTGAGCCACCAGGCATTCCTGGGTTTCTGGTTTTGATGATAATTTCAAACAACATATCCTCCACAAACATGCTAATCTCATACATTTAGGACTTAACATTTACATAAGTACTTCATCAAATACCAAATTTTATTATTCTTTAATTACATAATATGCATAATCAGTCTCCCAAATAAAATATCAACTGTTGATAATGGGCCCCAAGTCCTATATAATCATATTTCAATGATCTCAAGCATATCTTTCAGTTGAACAATCTATAATTGTTCAGGAATGAAACATTTTAACTTTTTTTTTGAAATTAATTTCAGATGGACAGAGAATACGTATAAATATTCCTGTATACTCTTCACCTAGATTTTCTAAATGTTAACATCTTATATTTTCTTTATCAAAGAATACTAATTAAGAACATGTCAAAATCTGCTCAATACTGTATTTATTTATAATGAGGAAAATAAAGCATTCTAGATATTTCTGTTTATAGTAGGAGTAATAAAGACAAGTTTAAATTCAAATACAATCCTGATTTTACACCCTCTGCTATCTTTAAAAGGTCAGATTTTTTTTGTTTGCTTGTTTTCTTTCCCCACCAAAATAAAAACAAAGTCCAACCCCGGGAGGCTACAGTTGAATAACTGGTTTGGAAATGTAGAACTTCGGGCAAGCCAACAGCCCAGAAGGCAGTGTGGTAATGTGTGTATAAATGTGTTTATGTGGGAGGGAGGAGGGGAGGTTGAAGCTGGATTGATGAGAGAAGGGGGTTAGAAAGGTTCTAATATAAACTCAAGTGTGGCTCTAGGAGGACAGCTTTAGGCCTAAGGAGGCACATGATATTTACCCTCCAGATTCCATTGCTGGGAGTCAGTGGCCCAGAAGGAGGGTCTAAAGAAGGGAAGAGTATAAAGGGGAGGCAGCTGGATGAGTAGAGCCGCAGAGACAATGCCTGACAGGGTAGGCCAACTGTAGCAACCAAGCTGATAACCATTTATTGGCAGCCTGCTCTATAACAGGTACCATGTTAGGCACTTTACATTCTCTCAGAGCCTCTCACACCAAATAGATATTATAATTCTCATTTTACAGAAGAGGAATAGGCCAGAGAGAATATATTATTTACTCGAGATCGCTCAGTTATTAAAGTGGCAGAAATAATTCAAAACCAAATGTAGCCCTCTGTAAAGCCAGAACTCCTCACATTATACCATACGGGTTAACTTGTGACGGAATGACACATTTCAGCTCCTAGAAGGAAGAATTTGTACAGAGCCATCTTATAGCACTCAGAGTTATCTGTTTGCTTTGTTCCTTTCACCTAGGCTGTGATCTCTTTGAAGATAGGACTGTGGTTCTGTCGTCCAAGTGCCTTCCTAGTGGGCACCAGTTCAGCCTTAATTATTTATTGAATATTTACAGTGTATCAGACTCATAAGGCTCTGGGATAGGGCTGGCCTCAGGGGTGTGCAATTAGTATAATGACACAGGGCCATGTGCTCAGAATGGTGTTTGGTTTAATGCTCTGTTGTCACCACCCTGAAATTCTTAACTTTATATTTGAACTTTTAAGACCAGTAGGACAATGGAGCATGTGCAGGACCAGAGGCCAGAGGGGCAAAGTGCATGTCCACCACTATTCCTTGCTACCTCATTCACATAAAGCATTTGTGAAACCCCATGAGCACAGAAATCTGGTGGACCCACCATCTGTGGAATTCTGCGAAACTCAAAGTCCCCGGATTCTATAGTGTTGGTAGAATGTGCATACATCAAGAAGTAAAAAAAAAAAAAAGAAAATACAGGTGAGTTGGTTTTGTGCAGTCTCCATTGTTCTAGTAAGAACAAAACACATGTTTGTATGAGCTAAGAAATATGAACTGTGAATTTCATCCATTCTGCATAGGAGTTAACCGTCCTTACATTTGTATTTAAAACTGGCATTGCATGCTATAAGAAGTAAAACTCATGCTAATAATTTATATTTAAAATTTTTTCTTTACTTTGGTATCAAATAGCAAATTTCTATTAATAATAACAGCATAATAATAGCACGATTAACATGCTATTATAATTAAAAACAGAAAGTTAAAACACCATGACAAGTCAAAGGAGATACTACGGAAGAAAGGAGATGGCTCATATTTTAGCACCTTTAGTGGCGCTTCCCCCTGCTTTTTGAACAAGGGACCCTGCATTTTCATTTCGTACTGAGCCTCACAAATTCCACAGCCAGGCCAGCTCCCACATAGGGCAGTGAGTAAGACATGCCCTACCTGCCCTGGAGCTTCCAAGTATTTCCTAGACTGTGGAGATGCCTAGAGGATTCGACTTTCATGCCTGGAATTTTTTTCAATATTTAGACCGAAATTGAGTAAAGAGATCAGATTACCTTCCAGGTCTGTTCAATCCTGGGATGACACTAACTATACAGAACTAGGCAGCTTTACGGTTCTATCATATGATACAAGAGGTCTGAAAGTGGACCCATCAAACCAGCTCATTCCTTTTTGTAACTCCTTTAGGGGGAAAAAAAATCACCAAAACTAAACTAGTTTAAACTGTTTCAACACTCAGTGGCCGTTCAGGGGACTAAGGAATCAAAATCGTAGGAAAAAAAAAAAAAATCCACCGCTGGTGTCTTGGGATAACGTTAACCAAGTCCTGGAGGCTGAGCCTCAGTTTGGGGGGAAAGGGCGAGCTAATGAAACAAGTCCAAAGGTGGAGAGGGGAATGGGGTGTGCTATGGAGTAACACCGGCTTCCAGAACAAAGGTTACACATTTGGAGTCACGGTCAAAGCATGAGCCTGTCAGTTTCACACAGAAGAGATTTTTGAAGGCAAAAGTAGACATGACAAAACACAGCCAGCACCACACTCACCGCCACGCACACACCCCCGAAGGCTTTAGAAAAGCCGACGACAGCTCAGCAAATGCGAGACACCGGAAACAGAAGAGTGGCTGACTCCTCGCAGTTCACATCCACTCCGTTTACTTGGCCCCACAATTTGTTCTTGTCATTTTTTGGAAAGGTTCTTGACTATGCCACGTGCCTACTAGGTTAGCGAAGCCGTCACCTGAATCCTGACTTTGTCCGTCAACCCCGCCTCCTCCGCATTTGGGCCTTCAGGCACCGCCCACCGCCAATCGCCCCACCCCTCGCGGCGGGCACAATGGCGCCCCGCGTCTCGCCTCCTCCCACCGTTCCTTTTCCTTGTGGCGTTCAATTGTTCTCGCGAGATTTCGGGCCCACTATTAGCTGGGCCGCGGGGTGGGTCTTCCTTTCCTTCCGCGAGGTTGTGGAGGTAGGCTGTAGTTGGCTTGTTGGGGTGCCGAGGGTTGGAGGTTGCCGAATGCGGACGTCGGAGGCCTGGGTTGCGGGGCGCGAGTACGCAGCTGAGGCCCGTGGTGGGCCGGCGCCTTTGGTGCAAGCCGTCCGCCAATCTGGGTGGGTAGGAAGAGGACACGACTATCGGGCCTGGTGAGCGAGGGAGGAGCTAGCTTTTCCCGGGATCCCCGCGTTGCTCGGTTGGCTCGAGCCGCGGAAGGCAGGCCCGGAGGGTGGAGGGCTCGCGGTCGTGGGCTGAGGGCTTCGTGGCTGGACTGTAGCCACACCTACGCGTTCATAGGCGTGCTGCATTGTGTCTGGATACTTAAAATGAAGCATTCCGGACAAGTGCACGTTTTGTGAATTTTCGTAAGTGCGAGGTAGCCATTTCTGACGCCTTCTTGCGTGAGGTGAGGTGCTCCCTGGAGGCACTCGCCCCCAAGGTCAGGCATAGTAAGTGGTTGGAGGGATTGATAACTCTAAGTAAGTGCGCTACCTCGCCGCATGGCCTCTCGCCGAATCTTGGGCTAAGAAGTACACTTCCTTAGGAATGTTTTCTACACGGTTTCCGGAAAACTGGTTTTTGAGTTAACTCCACTGTGCTGGAGTCATGTGCTAATATTTAAAAGACACCTATAACCTCTGGTATACCATTAGTGCCGTGTAACCCAATTTTTGTTAAATTTCATTTTTGAGCAGTTATTTCACGAATACTTAGGTTTTCGCATTTTAAAACACTACCAACAAAACATAACCATCAAATTTCCACGACTCCATCGGACATTTTGCAAATCTCTACCTGACCTTGATGATTTCTTGTATTTGAGATATTTGTCATTTTATCCTAGGATTCCATTCTTAACTACTCAGTTGTCATTCTCAGGTAAAGACAAGACAAAAACGGAAGAATGTTGGTATCCCTTGAAAGGGAGATAAGGTTAGGTAAAATAAGACCTCTTCGCTTTTTCGCCCACTATTGTCAGATTTTCCAAGGATAAAAAGACAAAGGGCACCATTGTGTGGTCTATTAGTCTTTCATTGAAGTTTGAGAATTCCGAACTTGTTAATTAGTACCCATAGTGGCAAAGAGATAATATGCCAAGGAAGAGGTTTCACAGTGACTGATGAATCATAGCATGAATGAGAAGAGGCTACAAATGGAAATGCAGGAGATTGGATTGAGGTAGTAAATCGTGATTCTTTTTCCTGATACACTGAGGCAACACTGCCTTCTGACTTTGTATGTAAAAGTTTTTCCAAGAAGTTCCCATCTGCTCTTGAAAAATGGCTTTTTGGCCATTAATTGTATGTGAATACTTGTAATTGTACATTACATGGTTAGTAAAATTACATTTTGTATCATGGGAAGATGTTTAATACTTTTTTGGAAATGACAATACTGTTCTGGAATCTTACTCCACTGGATAAGATTGAGAAGACAACTGAAAAATGGAAACCGTGAATTCAGTTTCTAGATTTTAGAATTTGATTTGAAATGGATGATTCCTACATAAAAATATTAAGGGCCTTGTATATGATTTTGCCTTAATTTACATAAAAAGTGACATAATCTGACTACATCAAATTTTGTATTACTGGGATACTAGCTGTGTTGGCATTTGTTCAGAGAAACTACATCACGTTTACCGAATTGTCAAAACTCTGAAGCAAATAAGTGACGAATAAGACAATTTGGAGAAGGACTTGGGAGAATATGTAACAGGAATGAATTTTTTTAACTCTATAATGGCATCTAATTCAGCTGTGGAAATTGAAAATGAAAGGTAAGTGCTATTTTAATCAACCACCACTAGATTTTTACTGCAAAACTGGTTAGATTTGCTGATAAGGTTTACTGTATTTTTATTACTGGGTAAGCAATAAAGGTAATTTTCAATAATTAGGAAAGAAAAGGAAAACCTGTTTTACACAGGTCTCCAGTTTATGTAGTTAACAGTGGGATACATTCTTAACCCCGGGGAAACAATATTCTCTGGGCCAATTTGGTATCTTCCTGGCTAAATCATCCTAATCTTATAACAGGAAAATAGACATCAGTGGGGGATCTTGCTTAAAAATCAACTTGTTGGGATAATGCACATTACAATAGTGCTGGCATGATGGAAATAATCACTAGGAAATCAAATCAGCATTTCTGTTGTATTCAAATTAAGTATGTTTGCTAGGCTACTCTTGTTTTATTTAGCAAGCTCTAGCACTAAACAAGACTGCCTTTGGAAATTAAAATTCTGTTATTTATCTTGGTAAGTGCTATGGCATCATGGCATTATGGTCCATTTTAGGTAGTCCGAGCTAAGTGCTTGGTGTAGTCCTGAGCCTATCTTTTTAAAAAATTATCCTGAGCATGTTTTCCTGTTTTTGGTCTGTGGAAGAAAAGCACCTTATGGTAATAAGCATTCAGTAATATAAAAGTGCAATTAATTTTTTCCCCTTTTTTTCTAGTGATAACTCTTCTTCTGGTAGCAGCTTATTTAAAACTCAGTATGTCCCTTACTCCCCTAAACAGGGGCAAAGAAACCCTACTAGAAAGTTTGTTCATTCACCTGAAGGTGTTCAGGCAAGGGATTCATCTAGTGACTCATCTTTCGAACCAAGACCATTGACTTTAAAAGCTATTTTTGAAAGATTCAAAAAAAAGAAACGTAAAAAGAGGAAATATAAACCAACAGGAAGATCAAGAGGAAGACCAAAAGGGAGAAAAAACACTAGACGTTCCCAAATAAATAAGAAACAAGTTCAAGATAAAGGATCTGGGTTCCCATTTTTAGAATCCGAGAGTGCAAGAAAACCATTACCTTGGAGAAAAATTTTAACCTTTGAGGTAAGTCAGTCAGCATTTTATATGTGTGAATAGATATAGCTAAAATGTCTGAAATGACTTGTTAGCCACTTTTAGAATTTAGATGTGCGTGGAACATAGAATCTGTGACTTTGATAATATCCTTTTGTACCGATTTATCTGCCACTTCAAGACCAACCCATTCTGGGTGGATTCTTCACTGGTATATTCAGTTTCAATGAATATACCCATATATGAGGTGCTTCAAGGCTGTTGGTATAAAATCCTTTGATCTCATCAGGTCTTTAAGTATCATCCCTAAAATTCAAGTGATTCCCAGTTTTCTAGTAACCTAAGTCAAACCCACACATATCTTCCATGTGTAGTGGCTTTAGTAGAGGCCATTTTCTTACAGATACTGAGTATTTGATTTTGACAGAATTGCCTGACAACTTAGCATTAAACTCTCAAATACTTGAGTTAAATGATTGCATAATTTATAATATTTTGCTCTAGAATCGGTGACGTGAAAAAATACTAACCTTTTATGTTTTAAGCTGATTATGTGAATATAAGAGATTTGTTTCTCTTTGCATTTAAAAACATCTTTAGGTATTGAATGGAGCACTGGGTGTTCTACATAAACAGTCATCAAAAACTAATGATGTAATGAATGGTGACTAACATAAAATGAAATAAAATTTTAAAAAATGTCTTTAGGGGGCGCCTGGGTGGCTCAGCCGTTACACGTCTGCCTTGGGTTCAGGTCATGATCCCAGAGTCCTGGGATAGAGCCCCACATCAGGCTCCCTGCTCAGCGGGAGGCCTGCTTCTCCCTCTCCTGCTCTCCCTGCTTGTATTCCTGCTCTCACTCTCTCTCTCTGTCAAATAAAATCTTTAAAAAAATAAAAATAAAAACGTCTTTAGAAATTCCCAAACAAGATTTGTGCTTAGTTTTTCTTGGTATTCCAACAACTTACGTAAATTTGATAATGTGCTAGGTAGATAGTGGATTCTTTTTACAACCAGCATCTGGTGTATGTGATCCACATACGGCAGAGTGAGTAAATCAGAATCGCTTAAGAGTTGTGGTAAAGGGATCCTTTTCATTTTGGAACATAAGGTATCTGCTAAGTCATGGAAGAAAATTTTGTATTTTGTAAGACACACATAAAGTGCTTTTGATATTTAGCAAGCAGTGGCAAGAGGATTTTTCAACTACCTTGAAAAACTGAAGTATGAATACTACCTCAAGGAATCCTTGAAACAAATGAATGTTGGTGAAGATTTAGAAAAAGAAGATTTTGACAGTCGTAGATACAAATACTTGGATGATGATGGTTCTCTCTCTCCTATTGAAGAATCAGAGTAAGTTTAATCGTGACATAATTTAGGTCCTAAGTTTTATTGAGTTAATCTTTTTAAATTTTAATGTTAATTGTTCCATATTATGTTATGGATTTGTTGTTATTGAATAGTGATGGGAGCATAGATACAATAAGGCCATCTGGGTTGTAGTTGAGCTTTGAGCTTGGCACATGAGCCATCCATTTTGGGATGTCATACATGACAACATAATTTTTGTCCTTACTAGTATTGCTGTTTCATTTGTATATCATGATAGTATATTACTGGGTTCTAGGTGATTTTGTTGTCTGAGGGTATATTTTAATGTTACAGAACAGAGGATGAGGCTGCAACAAATCTTGAACATGATGAATGTGATATCAAATTGGTGGTAAGTGACATTTTTATCCCATTTCAGGAGGATAGCAGTTGTACAGGAATAATTTAATCCACTAGTTACTATCTTAGATTCTGAACTTAATTTTTGAAAGGCTCAATGGATTTGGTACAGGAAATGTAAGAAGAAAAATAGGGATTATTTGGATACTTGGTCAGAATGTTGGCTTTTCAGTACTGTTAATAAGTTCAATATGTTTTGCTATTAGGATGTCTAATTAGGATTTTCTAATAAAAAATAAGCTGAATTTGGGTTTTTAAAATCAGGCCTTAGTCACCAGGTTATTATAAGTAACCTAGAGTTCAGTTATGTGTAATTACTAAAGCAATGAAATTCAGTAGTTATTTAATAATTGGTGTTTTTTATGCAGGACAACTTTAATGATTTCATAATAAGTTCTGAAGTACCAAAGATGAAGAATGTGTATTTAGAACAAGAAGAATATACTGAAGAAGCCGCTTTGTCTAAAAAGAGAGCATCAAAGTCCAAAAATACTGGACGGGACAGAATGGCCTGAAAAGAGATAGGAATATGAATGTTAAGGTAAATAGAACAGAGAAAACGGTTTTTTGTAGAAAATAAAGATGAAGAACACAAATACATATGTTGGCATAGTGATAAAAAAGAACCTGCTAAGGAGAAAAAAAGAATGACCAAGTTAGTGAAACTCGTAAAGAATTACTAGAAAAAAATACTTTAAAACGGTGTAATTATACACATAGAAGAAATTGAGGCTTGCATGTAGCAGAAATAATCACTTGAGAAATAATAACAGATCTGTTTTGCCTCTGCTTGTTTATTTCAGGGTAAGCACTTAAAAGCATCACTTGAGCATTCAAAGAAGTACAGAGATTGTAAACCTTTATTACAGTAATCACTAATGATGGACAACCAACCATCCATTCCTCAGAGTACCTGAAACCATTTTGATTGCAGTTATATTCAGATAAAAGTGACCTTTAGCTTCAAATATGTACTACCATAATAAATTACTAGTTACCTAGACTATTTCAGCTACCACTTCTTATCACTACTGCATATTGATTATGCCAGTAAATATATGCTGTATTTTATGATCGCACTTGTGCTTGTTTTTGTTTAGTTTGTGAACAAAGACTTAGACTAAGTGCAAAAAATAAATCCTCTTTTGCAACCCAGAACTCATGGCACAGTATGAGTTTTGATACATATAAGAAGGAACAAGATCCCTGAAACAGATTAAAGTGATGGTGGGTATATTGACAAACCTGAAGGGCAGTTCCAGTAATGTAGAATTACTAAAGGTATATAAGGGAAGGGGTGCCTGGGTGGCTCAGTCATTAAGCATCTGCCTTGGGCTCAGGTCATGATCCCAGAGTCTTGGGATCGAGCCCTGCATCAGGGTCCCTGCTTGGTAGGGAGGCCTGCTTCTCCCTCTCCCACTCCCCCTGCTTGTGTTCCCTCTCTGTCAAAAATAAATAAAATCTTTAAAAAAAAAAAAAAAGTAAGAGAAATCTCAGCTATATTGAATTAGTATTCTAATTTCAATGCTGACATGAAACAAAGATGCTTTTTTTTTAGGCTTTTCACTTGAATACAATGTCTGGACTTTAAAGGTATGTTTTATGATTTAGGTGAGTATTTGGATTAGATTTGTTGAAATGTACTTTGTCAGACAGCTTAAACCTCCACAGGTTTCATTACTGAAAGACATTTTGCTGGTTTACAATTTCTGTTTGACATTTCAGAAAAATGAATTTTAGGGTTCACACATTTTATAGTGGTAAAGTGCAAGCTTCACTTTACTAGCAGGAAAGGGTCTCCACAAACTAAGTTTATATTGAAATTATCAGAATATTAGATATTCTCATTCCACACATTTACATAATTTTAAACTAATGCATAATCTAAAATGAGGTGTAGGATTTAGTAGTGTAATGTTAGAAATGACTAGAGGACATAAGATTTCCTAAATCTGAATGATGCAAATGGTAATTAAAAAGCACACAATTTGTTTATCTTCCAGTGATTTCATAAATGGAAGAACAGAAATATAGCCACATTAATATTTTCCTCTGGTTTTTAGTACGTGATATCAAATAATGGTATTTTTTAAGGTGAGGCAAAAAATTAAACACTGCTGTAATCTGGAATATCCTAGACAAAACATACTGTGATACTGGAGTTTGCCAAAATCAGGACTTTTAGATACGGAAATCTTTTTCCTTCCTTTGGTTCTATAGTAGCTACTTTGTACTTATCTTTAGTATTTGGTTTTTATTCTCATTATAGACTCACTCCTTCCTGTAAGCATTTTAAAAATCCTTACTGTGTAATTTATGGAACGATTTCTTTAAGTTTGTTGTAAATGTTTGGCTTTTTGCACAATTTTGAACTCGGTGACTGAGAGCAGATCACTGTTCTAATTGTTTTTCTTGTGGAATCTTCCAATTTAAAACTAAACAATGCTTGAGGTCTATCCCGATGGGGCTTTTTCTCTGTAGACCTACATCGTTGGAAACGCCTCATAGAGTATATGTGTGGTTTCCTTTATTCACAGAACTATGTGTTAGATCTGTGGGAAAGAACTACAAGACATTTAACTGCTAAAACTCTGTACAAGACCTAATAGTCAAATTTTTTTAAATCTTAGGTATTGGCATATTCCCAACAATCTGTACAATTCTAGGGTGTGATGGTTTAGGTAAGTTTCCTTCGGGAACAGTGTAATCTTTGGGGTACTGTTACAGTTCAGATGATGAATTTAACTGTTCAACTGCTGAATGATACAGACATGAACTAAAACTTAATTCTGACAGAGCTGGCTATAGCTTAAAAAATACAGTTAAAATTTGGATGCTAGTCATATATTTAGGTTTTAAATTTTAATCACAAATTGTTCTTAATTTTTTGTTATTTTATCTGTAGGGGTGAATAGGATTTGAACTCATTCACATTTAGAGGTAGGTGGAACATCTAATTTCTATTGAAATTTATTAAGGATCCAAACGTTCTGAAAAAACCTAAGTTGTGAGGTCAGCGTACTGTTGTGTGCAGTAGTTGGGCATGCAACAGAATATCAAGATCTTGGTAAAAATGTTTGCCGTAAAACTTACACACAGAATTGGACAAACTGAAGAGACTATCTAGGAAATAACATGAAAATGCCCCCTTTGTATCTTTATTAAACAATTCCTATGGTTCATCCTAATAACATATTTGGATATGTTACAACAGAGATACTGAATTTTTTTAAGGAATTCTGCCTAACAATCTGAGCAACTGATCTTGTTTCTAATGCATCATTTCTTTTAGTGATTTCCCTTCATAGTTCTGTATGTGCGTTATACAGAGACAGGAAAGATAATGGGGGCTAGGTTTATAACTTAAGATGCAGGTAATGTCTTATTGGAGTGGCAATTAGGAATAAAGGTCTACATATTACAAGAACTTAAATTTCTAGAGGGAAGTTTCTCAGGTAGCCTTGAAGTAGAGGGGTTTACATACCTGTCAGGATTGCACTGCATGGTATCTGCCCTCAGCAGCTCATTCCTGCTGGGTGTTCAAGAGACAGTGCAATAGAAACTCAGTATCTGGCATCGTTGGTTTTCTTGGCTTTGTGCATGTAAAACCTGGTATTTTTATTGAAACAGTATTCCTCTAGTTTTTCATACTGTTCAATTTGAGATAATCTTCAGGAGGAACTAATGCTTCTCTTTTTCTAGGGGTGTTGGAAACTGAGAACCAGGCAGATCCAGGCTCAGGCCCTAACAGGTAAGGCTTTGCTTTTATTGACAGCATCTGGTTAGCAAAACAGCAGGACTTATAGAGGCAGAAACCTTTGTATAGATTATAAGCTTGAGAGGAACTTCTGTAAAGCCTCATTCTAGATGGAAATGGGCACTGTTGTTCATGGTGTCCAGAAATTGTTGATGTGGCTACATTGAGACACAGGTTATGCTTCCATCACAGCAAGTTTGTTGTTGTGGTGACAATGAGGCCTGTAACATTTCTGTTAAGACTTTTCAACATTAGAAACAATTAGATCTCTAATCAGTGAACTTCTACAATTTGACTTCTAGGGCCCTGGAGTAAAGACATTGGATCCCAAAGATTACAGGTAAGATTTCCCTTCAAAAGCCCTATGTTATAGGAGATGGAATCCCTTTATTTACCTAATTTTGACAGCTGCTAATCCTGGTAGTTCATTACCTCACCACTTAAAACAAAAACAAAAACTCTTTGATGTTAAAAGCCCACAATGTGTGTTTATACTGTTTGCCAGTGATTTGTGATGTTATGATGATGGGCAAAATGTTCAACTGCTCTGAATGCGCTGAGTGAAATTAGCCTTTCTGAACATCCATCCAAATGAAATCTGCTGTATTTTCCAGCAAAAGCTCTAAGTAAAAGTTAACTGAAACAGGAATAGTTACCTTTGGAGTTAATAATCAGAGGGCATTTCATGTCAGTTGGGGTTTGAATGCAAATGAGTATGTATTCCCAGCACTTCAATGAACTGGATTGAAAACAATTACTGCACCTTACGTAGTTTTAAGTCTGCAATTTTCAGCACATACTACTAGTTCAGAACTGGGTTTCAGGATACTTGGGAACCTAATTAAGTGCATTTTGAAAAATGTAGTCTAAACTTTAAAATTTTCCATAGGTGGGGAGTTTTTGAAGTAATGTCCATATTCAAGTGGAGATTGAAGAAGCCCAACCGAAAGAACTCTGGCAAGTTAATTCTCTTACCATATAATGGTCGTTACCAAGGCTTTGAGAATGCAGTTTCTCATTTGCTGTGGACATGACCGTAAAAAAATTTTCCCACTAGGTTTTCTTTCTTTCTGCTACTTTGCTAGCATTCAGCCTATTGGGAACATTTTATCAACCCTGTTCTATTTCCGTTGGCTAGATCAGCACCACTGTCCAGTATAAATGTAACAGAAGCCATATGTGATTTGGTAATAGTCCTATTATTTCAAATTCTCATCTGACCATACATGGCTAGTATATTGAACAGTGCGTGCCTAGATCTCTACTCTTGCAAATATCTTTTGCTAAATCACTCTTGCTAATAACCATGCAACTTGTAATACAATAGATTTAACAGACGGAGGCTGGCTTCAGTTTACATGGTCATCTCTGGAAATGGAACCTTACTTTTATGTTCTGTTATGTAGGACTGACCGTGACAACTGTGGATTGAACAAGGTCTTTTTAAAAGGTATGTATACATTTGAAAAAAATAACTTCTAGGTCATTTCAAAGAGGGCTTGTGGGACTAAAACCAAGAGCTCTTAACGCTGTGACCAAATATTGGAATTCTCCATAGGATGTAATAGTTACTCAATAGTGCTATGTTTTCCTGAGGAGATACAAGATTTAGCTACTTCTATCCATGACTGGTCAAGTGGGAAAGAAGAAATGTCTCCCAAGTTTAACCAGTGTGTATACTCTTGTTCGCAGGGCTATTTTGAAGATTATGATTCTGACTTTGGAGGAACTACGGTGATTGGAAGTGGAAGGAATCATATGTAAAATTCCTTAAATAAAAATTTATTGACTTTAAATAATTTTGCCTATATTGCACATAATTAAAAAAAAAACTTTATACTTTTAGTAGAAAGTCAGCATGTACTTTTGGCTCGAAGTTTCTCTAGTGTTTTCTGTGGAAGGAATAAAAAATAAAATTTAGCAGTTATCCATTGCAGTATATATACCCTAGACAGGGAAAAATTGTAGGGGGCCTAGCTCACCTTATGAAATTCTTTTGCCCTTGCTCTGTTTTGGGCATATGCATCTTGCTTTGCTTTCTCTTCCCTTTGCTGTTTGACTTCAGCTAACTGATTGTATGATCTGTAAGAAATTGATATATAGAATTAAGGACACACATTTTAGGAATGTAAATTACTATTCACTCACACACATATACACACACCTATACCTTGGGGCCCTTTGGTGCATGAGGGCTTGTGCAGTCTTTCTGTCTTCAGGAAGTGACACTCTAACCTTAACCTTATTCACACCCTTCAGGCGACTCACAGATGAGCCTGAGCAGAGAACAAGTGACTTGGCAAATATTACAAAGCTACATTCTCTTTGTGACACCTGATGCAGATTGTGTGGAACATACCTGTAGGCTTCTCCTTAGCTATTTTGGTTTGAGAATTTTCAGGAATACAAATTTTATTCTTTATTTCTTTCTGTCTCTGGGAGGATCTCTCCATAAATGATTTTTTCCTCTTTATAAATGCTTCTTGTAAGCTCCCAGGTAGAGCTATAATCTTTGGAGGGGTTTCTGTTAAAAAAAAAAAAAAGTTGAAGCTTTTTTTGTGTGTGCCAGCAGTGTACAAGATTATTGTGGGGCAGTGTGAATACTGGAACTGAATCAGGAACTCTGCCAGCCCCTCAGTTTAACGCTAAGCATTTCAGATGCTCAAGGGCATACCTGCAGACAGGATCACTTGCTCCTCGCTGCAGTGTTCAGATACATCTGGATAATCCGGGGTTTCTATTTCTGATACAAGAGGCAGAAATTCACTCACCTAATTGCAAAAAAAATTATAGATTAATTTACCACTTTTCATCTCACTGAACAGAATCACAAGCACAGGTTCTAAACCTTTAAAGCCCTGGTTCCCTTTGGTAGACAAAGAGATGTGGTCTTTGGGGGAGGTAGGCAGTTGAGTGCCTTACACTCTAATCCGCAAATGCAGTATAGGAATCTGTATTCAATACACTTCGTTCCTATTCTACTTTCTTTGTGCTGGTTCTCACATCTGAACTATAGGACTAAGTTTTCTGGGAAGGGAAAGTTTTAATAAATTGACTTTATTCCTATTAAAATGCTTTACCTGACCAGCCTACTCTAGCCAAAAGCTCCCCACACCCCCCACCCTGATTCCTGTCAAGTTCTTCCACACCACTTCTGCATCAGCTCTACTTGTCTCCTGCTTCCCCAAATTACCCTTATCAGTAATCATGGCAACAAGTACTAGGTGTGGAGTCATTTATTAGATAAATAATCTAATACCGTATCAGGCCACAAAAAAGGTCCTGCCGTAGTACTCTAGAATCTGGGACTTCTCTGTAAGAGTTTCCCTCTTAATACACTGAAACGGTGGGTGGGGACTTAGATTTTTCTTAGTTTTGTTACCAGTGAATTTATCTATTGTAATCTAGAATCTTAGTAAATAATTAAATTTATGGTGAATTCCCTCCAATGACTATCTTCTAAGAAGTGAAGTGAGCCAGGAGGAATGGTTTCCTTGCAGTGGAGAAAAGTATAAGGAACCTGCAGCTAAAAGAACTTAAAACCTATCTTGGTGTTTTATAACTTGATGTACATCTTCATTTTTTCTTCAGGACACGCACAAAATAAACTCATAAAGTAATAGCACTCATTCTGTATCGCCCTCGGGTCCGATTTTTACTTATCTTCTAGAGCTCTGCTGCCTCAGAACTTTTTTGGAACGAAATCCATCATTCATTGAATCAATTCATTCCTGAGTTCCAACCCTTGCATCATAAGATAAATGTCCGTCCCTCTCCTGTCAGCTGTCAGTTGCTCTAAGCACATTTGCACCCAGGAAAGGGAAGGAAATTAGTTTGCAAACAATTTTTTTTTATTCTTATGTTAATCCCCATACATTACATCATTAGTTTTAGATGAAGTGTTCCATGATTCATTGTTTGTGCATAACACCCAGTGCTCCATGCAGAATGTGCCCTCAATACCCACCACCAGGCTAACCCATCCTCCCACCCTCTCCTCCCCTCCAGAACCCTGTTTGTTTTTCAGAGTCCATCGTCTCTCATGGTTCGTCTACCCCTCCGATTTCCCCCGCTTCATTCTTCCCCTCCCGCTACCTTCTTTTTTTTTTTCTTAACATATATTGCATTATTTGTTTCAGAGGTACAGATCTGAGATTCAACAGTCTTGCACAATTCACAGTGCTTACCAGAGCACATACCCTCCCCAGTGTCTATCACCCAGTCACCCAACCCTTCCCACCCCACCCCCACTCCAACAACACTCAGTTTGTTTCCTGCGATTAAGAATTCCTCATATCAGTAAGATCATATGATACATGTCTTTCTCTGTTTGACTTATTTCACTCAACATAATACCCTCCAGTTCCATCCACGTCGAGTTTGCAAACAATTCTTAACGAAAAAAAATGCTATGTGGAAACAAAAGTGGAAAAACTTACCTGTTTCCTTATTCTCAGCTATGTGTTGCTGTGTAAATGAGGTGTATTCATATTAAAGGGAGCTATGAAATTTACCTGAGAACTGTTCTTTGCCTCATTTCCTTTCTTTTCTTCTAGGGTTAGATTTGCAAAATCCATTTCAGCAATACTGGTATCACTGGTGCTTACTAGTGTAAGCTCTGGTTCTTCCATTATACCATGGCCAGATTCTGTCTCCTGTGCAGTAAAATTCAAAAGGAAACCATACCCTTAAAAGTGTAAAAATACGTTACAGAGGAAGAACAGTGGTCTGTGCCTCCCCCACATCCAACCCACTTTTAGAAATATTAAGACTTTGGGGATGGGCGAAATAATTGTCTGAAAATTGCTATTGCAAGGGTTATAAGCCCAAATGCTTATTATGGGGCTATGCAGATAGTACAAACGCGGGTTGACTGGGGGCTGTGTAGAACCTGAGGGGGTAACCGGTAACCTATCGAAAGCAGTAGCTCGTGGGGTGCAGCCAAACAGGGAAGTATCTTTAATTACACTGAAGAATTTGCAAACCAAACACAAAACCACTCCAACAAAACAAAAGCTGCAAAATAAAGTATCTGTGGCCTAGATGTCACTCTTGCTCTCAATATAACTTCTATGTTTATCGGTGGAAGGACAATACTAGAAGGCAAAAACCATATTCACGTGACGAGTTGAAACCGAGTAGATTAATGCAGTGCAAAGAGGCTGAAGCATAGGCCAAGCCATTAGAAAAGGGATGTGTCAACGGGGAGCAAGACCTTTTATTGGAGATTTCCAATGATGACAAGACTGACTATCTCAGGAATATTAGCAAGTATCTTGGTTGCTTCTGTTGAATTTTGTTTCAAAAGACTTCCCTGGAAATGAATTTATTTACATACAACAGATTTCACTTACCCACATTGGAACTGAGCTCTGTAATGATCCAGAACTTAAAAAGAGCTCTGACTGTGCTAGTTGAGAAAGGTTTCTTAGGATTTTTGGAGTTTCTGCCTTAGTTGAATTCTCAAAATATTTTTCATTCTGAACAGAATATGGTGCCTGAACTGAAGTTCCCATCTCCACTGTTTTAACACAGGATTGAGAATCAGTTTCCTCCACATGTGAATTTATGTTTAAAACCCCACGGGTTTCATTTTTGTCTCCATTGAGTCCTCTTTCTGATAGTTCCTCAAAACCCAGTCTTTGTTTTCTGTCTTCTGGTTGGGCTTTTATTGAGCACTCACTAGACGTAGACCCACATGCGGTGCTATACTGTAGACTTAAGGGATGAAATACATTAGCCTCATTAGATGAACTGAAGACTGAACTCTGTAAATTTCCTACAGAGAGGTGGAAATGAACACTTTTTTCCTTATTTTGTATTTTAGTCTGTTCAGAGTCGTTCTGATTTTCCATGCCTTGGGAAGAATCTCTCGCTTCAATGGTGAAAATACTTGATAGATCAACATGCTGGCTCCCCTCCTGTGAAGAAAATTCTGGCAGAAGCTGTTGAAAAGATTGTTCAAATCCTGTAAGAAATAAGTTAACCATAATTCATGTTGTGAAACCTGGATACAGATACAATCTCTAATAGTCTGAACTAAATTGGAGTAATGAAGTCTGATTACTTCCTACAATTTGAGGAGTGAAAGCTGATGTATGTATACATGAATAGAAAACTAAAAGGATGGTCACTGATTTTCAAATAATTCTACTCCCACGATATATTTTCTCCTAGTCTAATAAAATATGGTTATTAGACATGATGAAAACTAGAGAGAATCCTAAGACTCTCCTAAGAGAGACTATTGATTTCAATAACAGAACTCAGACTAAAATGTGCATGTGTATCTCATATAAAAACATGTGTGTATATATACAATTTGTACAAGAAGTTTTAGAAGGATACTTAAAACTGTAAGGGTTGAGGTAAGGAAGCTGAGGAACAAGAGGCAGCACTTTTGCTTTTTATCAAGTTCAGAACTGTAAAAATGCAAACTGAGCATTATTCTATTGAAATGAATACACAGAAACAGAAGCTGTAACACTGGGAATGGGTGAGGACAGGAGTGGAGACATACCAAGAGCTGCTAGGCACAATTTCCAAGGAAAGTGGATGTAAACCATGGAAAAGTATTTTCTAACTTAATCATACCCTCAGTATTTTCTGTAGTAAATATCTGAGCTGTAGCATGAGCCAAATGAGGATCCGGTTGCTGGTTCGGGCTTATGTTAGACAAATTCAGGCTGGTTCTCAGTGCTGTAAAGGAAACTGTACTTTTGGACGCTACAACAGCATGGTGGCTTTCACATGAAGAATCTGAGTTCTGATGGAAAACAACAGGGAAAGGCTGACATACTGATTATTACCAATTGGGTCAATAGTCATGTTCCTATGATACTACTCTTCCTTAGTTACCACTTTACTTTCACACTAATAATTTGCTTATTTAAACCCAATTCTTCCATTTCAGTCAATATGAAAGAGACTTAAAAAAAAATTATTTAGAAAACAAATTGCAAATTAACCAGATAGTTTAGAATGCGACAAGATCACTTTCTTTTTCTTTAAAGATTTTGTCAGAGAGAGGGAACACAAGCAGGGGGAGTGGGAGAGGGAGAAGCAGGCTTCCTGCCGAGCAGGGAGCCCGATGCGGGGCTCGATCCCAGGACCCTGAGATCATGACCCGAGCCGAAGGCAGACGCCCAATGACTGAGCCACCCAGGCGCCCCGACAAGATCATTTTCTAAAGGCAGGAACTATCATGTAGGACAGCCTGGGATGTCAGGGTATGGGAGCAGAAAGACCGAGGTTTGAATCTCAGCTGCTTTACTATAATAGGAAGAGGCTTTAAATTTTGTAAAATTAGTAATAAAAAAAAACAATAAAAATATTCTTGAGCCTTATATGGATTATACTCATTAGCTGGAGATAAGGCTGACAGGACAAAATTCTAGTATAGCTGGTTTTCAATCTTGGTTCCACATTATAATTGCTTGGGGAGCTCAAAAAAGTTTTCTGATAATCTAAGCACTCCTAGAGATTCTGATTTAATTGGTCTGGGTACAGCCTGGGCATTGGGATTTTTAAAAGCTTTCCACGTGATTCTAATCGGCAGCCAAGGAAAAGAACCATTGTTCTGTTCTAACAAAAGAAAAGATAAACTGGTTTTGGAAATTCACAACAATGAAGCATCTACATTAATATACCTGGTAAAAGTCTCTGCTGTCTTGAGAAATCCCAGAGTATGATGATGATATATCAAAATCTGGATGTGGTTCTAAGGGTTTAAATAGCTGACGATGCAAATTTGGAAAAGTGTGTGCCAGTTCTGGAAAGTCAAGGTCAACTGTTGCAATTTTGAGAAAAAAAAGATAAAACTTAATTTTAGGTAACTGCAATTTAACAAAATTACTTCTTTTTTTTTTCATTGCCAGCAGATGCTTTCAAATGGAGTCCTATCATTACATCCCACATACAAAAAAATAAGGATACTGAATGACCAAAACCTTTGGCAAAGTTTCCATTTTTACTAGCTCCAAAGTCTTATGAAGTTAATTAGAAGAAGCCACTATGATCACTGCTTTGCTATAAGCTTTGTTATTCTTATTTCATTTTGGCATCAATGATTTAAAAAAAAGAAAAAAGAAGAAAAGTTCCTGTACAGGGTGTTACTATGGGCCAGGCATTGTACTTCATGTGTACTATCTCATTTAATCTCCAACAGCCCCCTTTTTAACAGAAGAGGAAGGAGTAAGCAACATGCTCACTGTCTCACAGCTAATAAATGATCAAACTAGAGACTCAAGGTCTGATCTTATTCTCAATATTGGCAATACTGCCCCAGCTGTTACAGCTAACTTTGCAACGGTAAAGAAGGTCTGTTCATCTCCGCTACATGTTCTTCAGTCTAATTCATTCCAGACCCCCACTGAATGCCCTGTTTTCCATGTATCGTGTCAGAACTGCCACAGCAGGCCAAAGAGACATGAAGCTCAATCATTCCTTAAAACAAAAAGGATGAAAGATTATATAAAAGCACTGTTCGAAATAATTTTGTCCTCAAGTCTGTTTTTTCAGTCATCAAATTTGCTTCATTTATGTGCTTGTCTATCATCCACTACGTATGTGTCTTACCAGGTGTAAACTTTTCCACGGCAGGCAACAGAGGTTGATGAACTTCCCGAGAGTCCTGCCTTTGATAAAGAACTTGTAATGAAGGAAGTATAGAACTTAAAATACCTCTCTCCTCTTCTTTACCAGTGGTAGATTCTTGTTCCCTGGGGTCCACATGCTCTGAAAATGACCCTGAAAAATGAGTTCAATGAAAATACTGAATGGCTGGGCACTTTCTTAGAGACAAGTTTTGGTAGACAGGCAAAGGATCAGAGCAACTGATGAAGGATCAGAGCAATTAAGAAATCTGCTCAGATAGATTCCCACTGAATGGGAAAATGTGACAATAGCAGATAATTCTGAAAATGTTGTTGGAGAACCACAGAGCATCCCTGTGGTCTGCAGGCCTGTGACTTCCAGTAATGTAGAGTATCATACTGCCCATTATCCTCTCAGGTATGAACAGTTTACTTTTGAGATTTAAAGAAACAAGCCCTCTTAGCACATTGTGACAAGCTCTCAATGTTTGCTCTCAGCACTGTACTGACTTCAACTGATGCTGGTCTTTCAGTTTATTTACAAATATTTTGACTTTATTACCTGGATCTGTAAGGCTCAGATCTGTGTTTTCGTAACTTAAAAAGCTCCCAGTAGAAATAGTTACTGATGATAATGGCTCATGATAAATCTCTTCTGTGTCAGCCTAAAAATGAAGGGGAATGTTAGACCACAATGTAGGAAGTAACAGCTAGAAAAAAACCCAAATCAGTGACATTACCAGTTATCAATTCTGAGCTCAGATCAAGTGTAGAAACCTTCATAGTTGTAAAGGTCAGTAGTAAAACCCTTTCATCATTGCTCAGAACTCATTAGTCTCACACACACACACATCCCCCCATCTCAAGTCTTAGTTATACACAGTCACACAATCACCTTTACACACACACACACACCCTCCAGACATAAGCCCTTATCGTTCTAAGTTACTTTTGCTTCTCAGAACTAGAGAGATCATGCATCGGGTAGACTGGAAGGTCTTCTGATGCTCAGATTTGGCTATTTTCATCATTGATCCACTTCAGTAAGAGCAGATCTCAGAAAACACAGACTTCAATATTTCACAACTTCTATAAACTAAAAGACAACATGAAACCAAACAGCTCTAACAATGGAGTACATATTAAGACACTACTAACATCTTCCGGCTTCACAGTTGGACTCAGATATGCATGTTCTTCCTCCACAGCATGGCTTAATACAGCATGATTCTCAGCCACAGCCTCCTTGACCTTGACTGAAATTGGGGGGGCGGGGGGGGTAGTTTAGATTATTATAAGTCAAGTTCTTAGCACCAGAGGATATCATTTCTATTTTCCTACAGTTTTCTTTCATATCTTGCTTTGTAGAATTGCCTTATCTTAGACCAAAAAGAAACAGAAACATTCGTTTTATTATTCATTAAAAACATTTCCTAGTCAGCACAATATGCTTTTCCCTGGAAAACTGTACTTGTTATTATTCTACAAAGAGGAAATTACCAGTATGATGAGAAATTTTTTTTTTTTTTTTAAGATTTTATTTATTTATTCAACAGAGAGAGACACAGCGAGAGAGGGAACACAAGCAGGGGGATTGGGAGAGGGGAGAAGCAGGCTTCCCGCGGAGCAGGAAGCCCAATGTGGGACTCGGTCCCAGGACCCTGGGATCACGACCTGAGCCGAAGGCAGACGCTTAACGACTGAGCCACCCAGGCGCCCCAGGGAAATGCTTTTGTTATTAAGTGAAGCAAGAATATTCTATCATTAATACAGTATGATGTCAAAGTTGAGAAAAATGCATATAAAAAAAGGCAATATATAAAAATTATTTGGTGTCACTTAAGAATTCAGGTATTCTGAGTTAATTTTTCTCTTACTTCAAGAGCCAACATTTATGGGAAAGCTAGTCAAAGTGTAGTTATCTGTGGCTCTGAAACAGAATAAAATTAAAACTGTGCCACCAAATATATAAACTAAAAATGTGTGTCTCATTATCACCATGATTTTATTAAGAGACATCATACACATTAAAAGTATGTTTCTTAAATGTTTTGGTAAGAAATGTTTTCTCAAAGACCCAGGACACACACATGTACCTGTATATTTATAAAATAATATCTATATTATGGATAATGAGGCAGAAACAAAGCTAATACTGAATATTATATATTAAGTACAATTTGTTTTCAATCATTTTTTACTGTCTTCTACTTCATTAAAAATATTATTTTGACCTAATTGATATAATCAATAAACTGTTACTTGGTTACTTTGATAAAGAACTTGTAATGAAGGAAGTATAGAACTTAAAATACCTCTCTCCTCTTCTTTACCAGTGGTAGATTCTTGTTCCCTGGGGTCCACATGCTCTGAAAATGACCCTGAAAAATGAGTTCAATGAAAATACTGAATGGCTGGGCACTTTCTTAGAGACAAGTTTTGGTAGACAGGCAAAGGATCAGAGCAATTGAGCAATTTACCAAACAAACTATATTCTATACAAACTAAAATTTTCAATAAAGAAACTAAGATGTGAAATTGTACAGTAAGTTATTTTTTCCTAGGCAGCTCATTTCAAAAGCTAGTTGGGGAGATAAGTTAATCTGGGGTTTATCCATTCATAATCATAACTATACTGTTATCTGTAACATACCAAGAAGATTCTCCCAGGGGGAAGATTTGAGTAGAGTAAGAGGTAAGAAAATAAAAGTAAGAAGGGAACAAGGTCTTCTCTTTTGGAGAAATGTTGCAGAATTCAGTGGACAGGTCTCTGAAAGAGCTGGAAGAGAAACAAGTATCAGTGGTTTGGAAAGGACTCACTGATACAAGGGGCCCGTTATGAGATTATTGAAAAGGGGAAGTGGCATCATGAAAGCAATGCCTTGAACAGAGTCATCTTCCCATGATACGCAAGAATTTCCTGCTTTCCTTCCGAAGCAAAGCACCATTTCCCGCCTTCCTAAAAAAGCAAAGGGTACAGAGCTTGAAGTTAGTGATACCACCATAAGAAATCAGGCTGAGGTGATGAGGACCCGAATAAAGAGGAAGGGAGGGAACAGAGAAGAAGTAACAAAGCTGGCACCCTCTTTTCTAAGACCGAAACAATGGATGATTATGAGAAAGAAAAAGCAGCCCCGAGCTGACCTGGCACAATCAGCGAGGCTTTAGTGTTCTCCTGTTAAACATAATTTCACAGAATACCAATAACAGGAAAGGCTACCCTGTGACTATGATGGATCAAGACAAAAATCAGGCCACCAGTACTCATGTCTAAACACAGACAAAACCAGGAGTATTATCCAAACCACAAAAATGACCAAGCATCTCCTTATCTTGGCCTGAATTGAGACAAAAAGTGTGATTTGATGTATTTTTAATGTCAAATATACGGAACAATTTTTAAAAATATTATTTATTAGAGAGAGAGAATTAATCGCAAGCACACTCTGTGCTGAGCATGGAGCCCGACGCAGGGCTTGATCCCACGACCTGAGATCATGACCTGAGCCGAAACCAAGAGTCAGATGTTTAACCGACTGAGCCATCCAAGTGCCCTGAGAATGATGATTTATAATAAAAGCTATATGTGCTCATTATGATTTCAGAAAGCACCAAAAGTTATAAAGAAGGTAAATTCCTCCTTTTCCTACCACTCATAAGCAACCACTTACTGCACTTTGGTGTTTTTCTTTCTTGGTTTTTTTTATATGAGTAACTGCTTCTTCTTTACTAGTTATAGCTTTCATAAGCCTCACTCCATTATTCCCACCTCCTGGATAATTCCTAAATGGAACTGCCCCTGCTTCCTGATAACATCCAACACTCATAAGTAGTGCCCCATTTCCTTGAAGCCTCTCCCAAATCACCTAATACAAGCCCAAATCTTACAGTAAGTCCTTTCTAATACCTGTACTGAGACACCTCCCACAGTTCCCTGTTGTGAGCATTCTACCTGACTGCAACAAGTCAAAGCTTGTTCTCAGCTCTGTTCAACTATAGGTAAGTTCCTGGTCCTCTTTGGCTAGAGGACACCAACAGTAGACTAAAAAGAAGTACAGGTATCCACTGGCTAAATCTAAAAGAATGATAACAGTTTTATTTTAAACTGTTGGCTCTCCCTCGTCTCTCATTCTATTAAACTATAGTGACAGCAAAAATAGAAAGAAATCTGGTTAGAAAAGGTAACTGCTTAAAAGATACTTTGGAACTAATGCAACAGTATGAATTAGAACTATGTAGGGTAAGCAGTATTACAGACATGAAACAGTTTGTTATATATGTGCAGAAATTCAAAAGGGGGAAAAAAATTAATACTGGTTGTGTTTGGGAGGCAGGATTAAGTGATTTTTTTTCCTGGTAAATCTCTTTTCCAAATATTTTAAAGTAAACAAAAAGCATGTCATTTAGAATGCTACAGAATATTTTAAAGATAATATTTAATAGTATTAAATTAAATATGGACTGCTACAAATAGGCTTAAGTACAAAATTTGTGGAGGTTGCCAACGGTGAAAACCTCATGCCCTCATATACTTCCTATTAGCATTTATTTAGTAAAATAATTTAAAAGTAAAATTACTATTCTCTAAATAAACTTCACTCCCTCATTCAGCTTTTTGTGTAAAGAAAGAATACGTGCTTTTTGTAAAAAAGAAAAAAAAAAACTATAATACATGAACATATAAAATAGAAAGTGAAACCCAGCCTCCAACAAAGGTAAACCCGTACCAACACTTTGGTGATTATCATTCCAGACAATTTTCAATGCATAAAGATAGGTTTTACTCCTTTCATTTAACAAGTACACAGAACCACATGGTCCAGACGCACCATAATGATTCTATTACCAACAGTCACTAAAGCTATTCACCATTTCTCATTATAAATTATACTACAGTAAATATCTTTTGTCCACATACCCTTGTGCACAGCAATTCCATTGCCTATTTCTCTCTCTCTCACCTGCTTCCTTGGAGTCATCACCACAGACGTTCTCCTGGGCAATGGGGTAAAGACAACCAAATGCATCACAGTTCAGTGGGCTCCCTAAGAAACTTTGTTCTCGGCTTATTGAGACTCTTAGAGGGTCCCTGTCTTGATAAAAGTCTGGTTTACCTGGGAGGAAGAAAAGATGGACTCATTAGATTTTCACTTATGTTTCTAGAGTTAGTAGTTAAAATGAAAGTGGCAATTTAGATTGCAGGTAAAAATCTATGTAGCAAGAAAATAATAACCGCTTATCTTTCACACAGGCCTTTAAATTATTTCACTTCGATTTTACTAACTTTTTAATGATAGTCCCACTTCCAACACCAGATAATACTTCAGTATTGACTAATCACAGAAAAAAATGCCTGGGAATTTACTAACCATGAATAGTATTATAAGGTGTAGTCTGTGTTCATAAAATAGAGTCAAAAACAGCTGCAGCTAATCTGTGGTGTAAGAAATCAAGGTAGAGGTTTAACCTGGAGAGAATGGATAGACTGTAATTGGGAGGACACAAGGGGAGGGTTTATGAAGTTCTCTAAGGTTCTAGTTCTTGACCTGAGTGGTGGCTACATAGGGGTGGTTATTACAACGGTAATCACTGAAATAAACACTTGCAATTTGTGCACTTCTCTGAATGTTATACTTTGATACAAAAATAACAAGTAAGGAAACAGAGGAGTGGGAGATACCCAAAGTAGAAGCTAGTCTACTGTGCACAACCCTAGCAAAGCTTGGCAATTCAAGGCACCAGGTATTCCATAAGGAAAGTGTGCACCAGGGAACGAAAGACAGGGAGAATGTTTAGAAATATGTACTTGGAACAGATCCATCCCATCTCCTAAGATCCCTGTCCCTCAACATCATCCCCACAGAAGACTAAAGGTTTATTCTCTGGAGAAACTGAATCCAGTACACCCTGAAAACAGGGGGCTCAGCACCAAAAGGAAGCAACGGTGGAAAGAAGGGAGGATGCCATGAGGTAATCAGGGGTATTCAAGTCTGCAACTCAATGCAGATCCCCCCAGGTTTGGCTCCATAATAGCAACAGCCAGACTTGTATCAAGCTCGGAGGATCTTTTCCTAAAGAAACTAAACTGTGAACTGCCTCAAGGAAAAGAACTCCAGATATTAAATTGAGGGTACCCAATGAGAAACCTCCTTTTCTAATGAAGTTCAGCAGGAAACAAGGCCCCTGCTTACAAAATTCCTACCAAGCCTTTAGCATCCCACTCAAATATGCAAGACGTTAGAGAAAAGCCTCTAAAAAATGAGAAACAACAAAAAAGGAACAAAAGAATTAAGACAAACGGAGAAAATACAGGAACCCAAACATTATATATATTCAAAGCAGGTAATACGTTGCACCCATGAGAAACAGCAGGATGCTATGAAAAAGGAAGAAAAACAAAACAAAACCAGGAAAAGAGCAAACTTATAGAAACTGCAATCTGACAGTCAAAATGAAAATTCCTAAGTTAGAAAAAAAAAATTGAGGAAATTCTTCCAGAAAGAAAAACCAAAAGCAGAAGAGATGAGCTAGAGAGGAAAACTGGAGGGTCAATATAGATCAGTATCTCTCAACACGACTTAGGAGCCTGTAGCTATTATCTTTCCTTCTACATGCTTCCTTCCCCTCCTACCGCCATGAAATATTAACTACAGATACGCTAACTTTTTATGTACACCTGTGCTTTGGTACAAAAAGACAGTAAGACTTTTCACCTCCCCAAGAACCAATTCTCATCCTCTTCGGAAGCAGTAACACCCTTATTGAGAATGCATGACAGAGCTCCCTAACTTTCAAGTGGAAGGTGTTTCACAGAGAAACTGGTGTGATCTCACCTATTACAGGTATGTGAAAGAAGTATTAGTGTGAGAAGACAGATATTTAACAAACTTTAAGCAAATAAAAGGAGACAATTTACTATACAAGAAAGTTGTACAAAAAAAGGAAACAGAGTTTCACTGTCCTAGCAGTGAAAAACATTTACACATTAGCATGATGGTAATTTAGCTTAATTTTTCCTAAAATTCATTGCCAACTCTTGTGGTAAATATAAGAAGAAACACATAAAAGACTTGAAAAGTGGCTGCCTCTGGTAAGTTAAGGGGTGAAGGATGGGTAGGGGCAGGAAAAAAAATGCTGTTTGATGTTATAACCTTTTAGCACTATTTGCCTTTTAAAACCATTTGCCTGTAATATTTTGACTAAAAGTATTATCCAAAGAAGTGTGATAAAGGCTAGGATAAAAGCTCCAAAGATCCAGGAGAAGGATACTTGATAGTTCAGGCCCAGTTTACCAGAGAAGGGGCCCTTAATCAGCCCCACCCAGAGGAGCAAGAGCATGAAGGGCCTAGCAGGTGAAGCTGGAGACTGAGACTCAATTTAGACTTATTCCTTGAATCGAACAGAAGCCCAATGAAGAGTTTCAAACAGGGAGATGCAGAGAGAGCTTACTCAGAATGTACCATGGGAAAATTAGAGTATAGCGAGACTGGAAACAGGAAGACATGGGGAGCTGTAGTAGCCACTTGAGAGGGCCTGCATTCCTGAGTGGGAGTGAGAACAAGTGGACAGAGGCCCAAGCTGAACAAGGAGAACTGAGAATTGGTGATTTTTATTGGGTGTCGGAGAGATAAAGACAAGGGCAGTGTTAAGATTTACATCTAAGTACTTGCCCTGAAAAAAGAAGGCTCAAGGATAAGGAGGTGGTGGTGAAGGGTGAGCTATATGATACATCGTTTTCCCTTTGAGACAAGATGACATTTTCGCAATCAGAAACATAACTCATTAAATCATAGGAATAAAAAAAAATCATGGGAATCAATGGTGAGAATCTCCCAGGGTGCATTCTGAATTAGGGAAAGCACTAATTCCCAAAGAGCTGTGGTTTGCCAAAGTTACAACTTCCATAAGACACAATAAGGAAGCAGAAAGGGGACTGATTCTTACGAGTTACTCTGAATCTCTACCTTCCTTAATTCTTTCAGTCAGAAACAAAGGTACAATATTTTATGGCTTAAGACCAAAGCAGCTGTCAATACTGCACTTCTACATACTTTTCTAGTGACAAAGCCAATTTTCCCCCTTAAAAAAGGATGTGCTTTGATAAATTTGATCAATTACTTGAGTCTGAATTCTAAAAATAATTATGAAATTCAAATAGGGCTATTTACTGAAGATTGCAGGGAGGACTTTTCCTAGATAACTGCATCTAGGAAGAAGTAGAGAGAAGAAATAGAGTTGTAACTATCTTTAAAGCCAGGATTTTAAGCATAATAATTATCCTATAAAAAATACAAGAAAACAGCAGTGAAGCTATTGAAGTAGAAAAGCAGCAAAGAAGAAAACACAGAGTTACTCCTAAAGAAACAGGTTTAGAAAGAAGGCAGATATGAAAGGAAGCAGAGGGAAGCAAGAGTGTCAGAAGCAGAGGATACTGAAGAATTTTTGTCTACAGTAAACAGATTTTCACCATTTACGAGAAGAAACTAGTCACTTAATGCCACATTTAAGTCCAAATTTTAAATACTGTTTATGTAAACCATTTCTTTCTTTCATGAATACTCACAGCCTGTTTCTTCAAGACAAGAAATTTAGCATGGTGAAAAAAACTATTAAAAAATCCTGTTTTATCAAACCATTTATTTACCTAGTACAGACGTTCTGCCACTTGCTGGTGACTCTACCTCTGGTATAGCACTGAGTTCATGCTGGTTCAAGTCCAGTCCACATTTCACTCTTGCTACAGGGGGCTTTGAGGATCTCCTGGCCAGTTCTTTGTCCAGATGCTCACCTACCAAGTCAGTGACAGATTCAGGCATAGTACAAATCTGTTAGCATACTACAAGCTTTATTTCAGCCACCAGGTTGCTGAAGGTGAAAGTAAAGAATAATCAGGATAGTTACAATAAAAAAACGGAGTTATCTTACCACTTTGCTTGGCACCACTCTCTTCTGAAAGCAGCTGATTATCACCACAGTTGCTCCTACTCGCAAGACTAATGCCTTCCTGATCATCTCCTGCTAGGTCTTGGAGATGAGGAAGCCACTCTCTGAGCTTCTGAGTGTCTACATCACCTTCAGCTGTGGGCTTACTTATCTGAGAAAGCGGACAATTGAGGGTGGGGATGACACAAGATGAGGGATCATGTGAAGAATTCACCAGATGTGTATCATCCTTCTTAAATTAGAACCTCAACCAAATATTTCCATCAAATACACTATTGCAATTTTAGAGATTTAAAAAAATGCGAAATGCTTCTAATACAGAAAAGGTGATACTTCCATTGAAAAGTATGGCCTTTCACAGGGCTTGGACTTAAAAACTTAGCCTCTACTGTGTCTTTTAGTAAGACATTATACTTGAGTACTCTTCCCTGCTTTTCTTTCCTCATTACTTTTCCTTAAAATGAGCAGGAAATTCCTACAACTCAAAGCTCTCATGAACTCAACTCAGGCTTCTTTTGAATGTCAAAGGATTTATAGAATTCAATTTAGGCTAAATCACAGATTCAGGAAGTGGCCTATTAAAATTAAATGGATAGATTCACATTCAGGAGAATATACTCATCTCCCCTACAGAGAAACCATGAATGTCAATGTGACCGTGCCAGAGTCTTCTCACCAACTCAATAACAAAGAGCATGTCTAACTGCCCATCAGCCTAAAATCATGCCAGTTTTAGAACAGGTGGTGATATTGTCACTAACGGAAAAAGGTGGTACTAATTTTGATTCAAATACAAATGTCGACAAAGTGCTATACAGAAAGCACAAGACTTGCTATTTGCATAAAAGAAATTCTGCTAATTATTTTGCAATTTAATCTTTTTTTAAAAAAGATTTTTATTTTTGCGAGAGAGAGCGTGCCCGATGTGCTCACGAGTGGAGGGGAAGGGGCAGAGGGAGAAGCAGACCCCCCAACCCCCGCTGAGCAGGGAGCCCGACAGGGAACTGGATCCCAGAACCCCGGGATCATGACCTGAGCCGAAGGCAGATGCTTAACCGACTGAGCCACCCAAGTGCCCTTGCAATTTAATCTCATGGTAAGCTCAAAGCCTTTATAAAAAAACTTCAAATGGCAATCTGCATTTTTAAGGGTGTTTGCATTTGGCTATGTCAAACTAAGGCTGAAATAAGTTGGGCTTCAAACAACTATTAACCTCATAAACACCATGCAAGGTAGAGTCAATTTTTATGTTTTAATTTCCAGTGTTTAAGGTAGAAAATTAAAGCAGTTAAGGTCAAACCATTTATTCTCAAATAACTGAGAATTTATTTAGGCCTGAGATTAAAAAAAATATCTAGCTTGTCTGAGTCGGGTTACCTCTATTAATTTAATTTCTAGGTATTCAAGTTTAATACATACCTGATTATATTTAAAGAAATCCTTCAGGGTCTCTTGATGTTTCTGTATCTGCTGCTGCAATGTTGTTTGTCTCTGTACAAGCAATTCTTCTTGGGCTTTTTGGCTATATTGCAGAACTTTCTTTTGTAGATCCAGCTGCTTCTGAAGTCCTAGGTTATCTTGCTGAGTTAAGACAGGTTGTGAAAAACACACAAGTCTATCTTGAAATCTGGGGATCATGGAATTGCTTGAGGGAGCTGCATGTTCATTCTTAGATGAATACAATTCACCATGGTTTTTAGATTTAACTTCAGCAAAAGGCAGTGGAATAAATGAATGCTCGCTTTCTGTGGGTAAAAACAAAGAGGGAATAGCATGCTCGGCAGATTCACTTTCAGTCAATTTTGTTTGTTTGTTTAACAGCAGTTCTTCTCGGTCCTTCTCATTAGAATGCACCACTTCCCTCTGTAAGTCCAACTGTGCTGTCAAAGTATCTTGCAGAGGCAGAACAGGTAGTGATGAACTTGAAAGTCTATCCTGGGATGTTGGGATCTCAGGATGACTTGAGGGAACAGTACTGTTACTTCTGGTTGCAAGAGGCTTTTGGATTCTTTCAGAGTCAGCAACAGGCGGTGCTCCCTGGGATAATGATGAAGAGCTAATCTGCTCAGATGATACCCTTTTCTCCAATTTACTTAGTCTTTGCAAAAGTACTTCTTCTTGGACTTCCTGTCTAGACCGAATGGCTTTCCTTTGTATTTCTAACTGCTCTTGAAGTACTTTCAAATCACCCTGGGGAAGCTGGACAAAATGCTCAGAAGATAACTCTTCCTCAAATTTATACTGTCTGGGCAAAACCAATTCTTTCTGGGTTTTCTTGCCACACGGAAGGGAATTTCTTTGTGCATACAAGTGTTCCTGTTGAAGTGCAATCAAGTGATCTTGCTGAGGTAAAATAGGCTGTGATAAACCTAAAAGCCCATCAGGCAATCCTGGTGTCTCAGAATGTCTTGAGGAACCTGTATTATCACTCTTAGTTGAATATGGTTCTTGGATTCTTCCGGATTCACTAAGAGGTGATGAAGCAAATGAATGCTGTATAACGGGGGGTAGGAAGGAAGAGGAGCCAACCTGCTCAGGAGCTATTCTTTGCTTCCACTCACTCTGTTTGTGCAAAAGTAATTCTTCCTGAGCTTCCTGTCTAGATTGAACGATAGCTTCTCTCTGTGTAGCTAACCTTTCTCCAAGCGCCTTCAAATTATCTTGTTGAGGCCGAATAAGTTGTGATATCCTCAAAAGCCTATCCTGCAATTGTGGGATCTGAAGATGGCTTGAAAGATTTTTACCATCACTCTCTGTTGAAGGAGGCTCCTGTGTTGTACCAGATTCAGCAGAAGGTAACGAAGTAAATGAAGGCTGTCCTACCTGGGGTCTGAATGAGGAGTCAGTTTGTTCCGAAGATACATTTCCTTGGGTTTTCTGGCTAAAATGAAGGACCGCCTTCTCTGTATGCAGCCATTCTTGGTGTTCCTCCAAGCTAAGCTGTGAAAATCCCAGAAGTCTTTCCTGAAATCTCGGAATCTTAGACTGGCTTAAGGGAACTGTACTGTCACTCTTGATTGGCATAAATTCCTGGAATCTTTCAGACTCAGCTACCTGGGACAGGGATAAAGAGGTGCCAGTCTGTTCAGAAGAAACTGTTTTTTCTAATTCATGTGGTTTGTGTACAAATTCCCGAGTTTCTTGTTCAGCACCAAGCATTACCCTGTGTGTGTGTGACTGTTCTTCAAGTGCTGTCAAATTTTCTTGCCGTGGCAGGTTATGCTGTGGGAAACCACGAGGCTCATCCTGAAATGCTGGGATTACCGGATGACTGGAGGGAAGAACACTCTCCTTTTCAGATAAATAAAAGTTCTGAATTCTTCTTGGCTCAGTTTTAGCAGAAGTTTGTGAAGTAACTAAAGACGGAGAAACCGCTGGTGGAAGTGAAGAACTCATTTGCCCAGACTTACTGTCTCCCAAATCCCTTTGTCTATGCAAAAGCAATTCTGCCTGGGCTTCCCGCCCGGCCTGAAGAGCATCCCTCTGTGTAGTCACCTGTTCTCGGAGCAACTGCAAACTATCATGCAGAGGTAGGAACTGCTGTAGGAAACTCAAAGACCCAACCTGAGATTTTTGGTCTTCAGACTGGCTTGAGAGAAGTCCCTTCGCACTCTCAGATGAAAACTGCTCCTGGATCTCTCTAGAATGAGTGCCAGCAGAAAGTAGTGAAGTAAATGTATGCTGAACTATGTGAGAAGGGAGAGAAGGGGGTGCAGTCTGTTCAGACCATATTCTTCCATTCAATTCACTCTGTTTATGTACACATGATACTTCCTGGGCTTCTCGCCTCGCCTGAAGGCTGTCCCTCTGAATATTTAACTGTTCTTGGAGAAATTTAAAATTATCTTGCTGTGATAAGACAGGCTGTGAAAAACTCAAAAGCCTATCCGGAAGTCGTGGGAGCCCAAGATGGCCTGAGGGAACTGCAGTATCATCCCTGGTTGGAGAAGATTCCTGGATTCTCCCCGATGCAGCTCTGGCAGAAGGCAGTGTGGCAACTGAATCCAGAGATACTAATGGAAGGGAGACAGAGAGGCCAGTTTGTCCTTCCAATTCTTTCTGTTTGTACAAAAGCAATCGTTCCTGAGCTTCCTGTCTTGACCGAAGAACTTCCTTCTGTAGGTCTAACTGTTCTTGGAGAGCCTTCAAATTACCCAGCTGGGCTGTGATATTCTCTGAGGTTGGTAAAGACTTATCCTGCATTTGGCTGATTACAGAATGACTTACAGAAACTGCACTTTTGCTCATGGCTGAAAAGGATTCCTGGATTTTTCCAGATCCAACTGCAGCAGGCAGAGAACTAAAAGCATGCTCAGCTGACAGTGGTTGGAATGAAGAACGTTCAGTTAGGATGGAGGGTATACTTTCCTTGTTCTCTGAGAACCTTTGATGGGGATCTAAAGTTTGAAAAGTTGTTGCCCTAGATATTTCAGCTATTTCTTTAGGATCCTGTATTATTAGCAGCCTATCATGTGACAAAGGCTTTGAAAGTGTATGAGAATCTTTATGAACCAATTTATAGTCTCTCTGTTGTACTTCACTCTGCGAGAGTTGCTTAGGTTGTTCCTGCGATTCCAAAGACTGCCTGGCTAAAACATCTGAAGTGATTAATTTGTCTGTTTCTACCTGTCTTTGTGGAAAGAGACTTTCTCTTGGAACCTGAAAATAATCTTGTTCTAATTTGGAGATCTGTATGGATGGTATAGGTTGATATTTGTTAGGACTCAACTTGGGTCTCTGACCTTGATCCCAATGCTCTGATATAACAGTGGGTCTTTGAGAATTCTGTGGCAGTACTGATATAACAGAATCAGGTATCAATGAAGTGGCTAACCCGGATGAGTACTTTCCTTTTAACACAGTCTGATATTCGAGTAATCGTTTCCTGGCTGTTTCAACAGACTGTCTGTGAAACCTAAAACAAGCACAAAAAACCAAAGATTATTCTTTCTTGATGAAAAAAATGCCCTATATTCTCAAGTGTCTACACATTAAATTCAACAAATAGCAATTTAGGTTTGGCCATTATCATGATGGAAAAAGAACAACATTCATATTGTTCTTTGGGAAACTTATATACTGTAGTTTGAAGGGAATCCTGATTAGATCTTCATATAAAACAAATAATAAATCCTGAAGAGGCAGCCACACAGTATATCACATATAAATTGTACCCTAGCTAATACCTGTTCTGCTGTAAAAGCTGATGTTGATAGTTATGAATCATCTGCCTATGATTATCTTCATCAGAAGTTACACTGTATGGTGCTGGAGCAGTGCCAACCTAATAAAAGACAAAGCTACTAATTAAAATGCAAATCCAGAAACAAGTACTAAAGTATTTTATATAAACTGAAGTTCTACAACTGTAAACTTTCATACAGCTTTATTTTTCGTAAAAGACTGGCACTTCCATTATTAAGAAATGAAGTAATCCACCATTCTCCTTTAGTGCCAAGTCCAAGAGCTCAACACACACATTATTTATAAATCAAGGTCACATATACTGGTACCCTTTAGAAACTGAAAGATGAAAGCCATTAGGTCTGTATAAGCTCACATATACATGTATCTCTATCTACCTATATATGCACACACAGTGTTAAAAGAAAAAAAATTACCAAATAAAAATTAGAAATGCATTTTACTTTCCTGAATGCTACGACTGCTCATATTTTCTTATCCCCCAACAACCTATGTAGGGATGAAATTTCCTGCATCCTACCCCAGTCTGCTGTGTTCTTTGCCTTTTTTCTTCTTCCAGCTGAGCCTTGAAGCAATCAGTTTCTAATCTTAACTTCTGTTGTTCAATTTGTTCAAGTAATTCCAACTGCTTTTGCTTCTGCTCTTCTATTTCCATTATCTAAGTAACAAAAATACTGCTATCTATTAACAACAAACTCAGACAAAAGAAAAGTTTATATGAATTACATTGACAAGAAACCGATCTCATCACCAAGAATACCAGTTACCTGAGAAGAAAGTGGTAATGTTTTATCTGTTACTGCCCCTGCCAGAGGGAGGAAGAGGGTGAGATGGGAAAAGGAGGAAGGAGAAAAAGACAGGGAAGGAAAAAATAAACACATTAACTGTCCCCACTTCCTGTGGGAGCACGGTGAAACCTTGCTCACCACTCAAGACCCACCTCCAGAGAAGCAGCAAATGATGCTCAGCCAAATTCTGTTTTTGCATCTTTAAATTTACAGTGTTCTCAGCAAGAAAAATGACTGAAGAAATTAAATATCAAGGCCTCACAAATAATTTGACTTCTTAGGCATACCCATAAAGGAATGCAGTTATCTAGAGGCCAAATAATATATGAGCAACATTCTGTGTCTTCTGTCAGGTGTGAAACAGACGGGAAGACAATGGCAGAGGGCTGACACATAAACTCTAGTATTACACCAACACACACACACACACACACACACACACACACACACACAAACACACAGAGATCCAAATAATTAGAACATGTCAGAGGAGCTCCACGCTTCCTAAGGACAGGGACTAGTCTGACTGGTCGTGTGCTAAATCCAGTACCTACTACAGTCCCTAGAACACACATAACACATAAATATATATATTTTTAAACTTTTTCTAAAGCTTTATTGAGAAATATTTCACATACCATAAAATTCACCCATTCAAAGTATTTACTTCAGCCTTTTTATATATTCACAGGGTTGTGCGAACATTACCACAAACTAATTTTAGGACTTTTTCAGTACCCCAAGAAGAAATCCCATACACACTAGCAGCCATTCCTCTTTCCTGCTTTCCCCTCATCCTTCCACCAGACTCAACCTTATCAATTATTAATCTACTTGCTGTCTCTAAGTATTTGCCTATTCTGGATATTAAAATAAATAAAATTATACAATATGTGCTCTTATGTGACCGCCTTCTTTCAGTTAGCATGTTCCCATATTCCATCGATGTTGAAGCAGCAGACACATAAATATTTACTGAATAAGTAGAACAAGGAATATATGGGAAATTTTATGAAGAGGAACACTTCTGCTACAGATAATGAAGAATGATCTTGTTTTCAAAATAAAAAATGTCTCAATCTGGTATTTTACCTATTCCTTCAGGCAAGAGTGGCTACAGCTGAGTTCTTGTCTGCATCTTCCCTACTTTCCCCTCACTCATGGGAGCCACTGAACTTAGACCATTTACAGTTCTGTAGTACCTCTAGAACTACACTATCAATACAATAGTTACTAGCTACATGTGACTCTTAAAATTTAAATGAATTAAAATAAAACTGAAAATTCAGTTACTCAGTTATACTAGTCATATTTCAAGTATTCAATAGCCCATGCAGCTAGGAGGTACCATAACGGGACACAGATATGGAACATTTCCATAACCAGAGAAAGCTCTACTGGACAATACTGCTTTAGAATACTGATTAGAAAACACTCATCTGAGAAGAAATACTGGTTTACAGAATTCTTACTTCCCAGCTGTATTTTCATAAAAACTATGACTATAAACTAGCTTAGTGACAATTAACATCTTTCAAGGAAATCTGTGTTAAAAAAAAATCTTGTATTAAAGCAAATGGGACCAAAATTATAGTTAAGGAGGTTGAATTAACAATTTTTCTTCTGAAATACTATTTTTCAAAAAAACTTTTGAGGTTATAAAGCCTAGCTGAACTCAACCAATATTTATTGAACACTTACTATGTACAAAGCATTGCACCAGAAACTGTGAAGTAAATAGAATTTTCAAAAAAGATAGTCTCTGTCTTTAACAAAAGTATTAAATACAAAACAGAATGCAGTAAGGGTCAAATGAGTAGTACAAGCAAAGATGAAGTATCTTCTATCAGCTGAATGAATAAAACAAGACAGAAGAAATAGTATCAAAAGCAGCCAGACAGTAAGACAAATTTCACTGATCACACAAAATTATAGAACCTAGGGGAAGAAAGAAACCTCTAAAAATAAAAATTTCAGATTACCTGTTTCTGCCTTGCTGCCATTCTAATTCTGGCTGCTTCTTCTTGAGGATGAAGTAGAACTGAACTCTGAGCTACAGCTGTGATAGGCTGAGCCTCCTTTATTTCTAAGAGAATCCCTAAAACAAAAATTAGTTTCAATAATTTAGAATTCTGACAATGCTGTAATTCTCTTTATTCATTTACCACATATGTAATTTTATTAGGAAAAAAATGTTAAGTTGAGCAACTTTAATTTGAGAATGTGATAAAAAAGAAATACCTTGTTCCTTTTCAGAGTCTATATCCAATGAAAGTGGTTTCTCTTCACTAGTAAGTGGTCCAGAGTCAACTGTTAGAGTATCACTCTCAGCAACTGTAGTAGATATATTATTAGGAACATATTATCACTGTAAGCCTAAATCTGAACAAAGTAACAAAAACCTGCATTTGGATTAACAATTCAATTTTGGTTCATCTGTCATATTTAGTTAAGATCCAGTCTTGTTCCAGATGACTGCATATTTTATCCATTAAACTTGAGCCTAGTACCAGAAGACAGATGGGAGACTAAAATTGTGAACCAAAAGGAAAAAAATGAAGAACTGATTAAAAAGGTTTACTGACAGTTTCAAACACTAGGAAAAAGCAAAGAAGGATAGACAAAGCAAGACACCTAAGTTTAAAGAGAAGCTTAAGGAATGTATCCCTGCCATTTTTAGATAGGATTTTTCTTATTTCTGAAATCAGAACAGAGAAGGAAGTTAAAGCAGTTTCTTGGACCGTATCAGGGTAGTCAGAAACTCTGCATCAAGCATTCATTCATTCACTCACTCATTTATACAGCTCCTACTTATGTGCTGCATGCTGGGGATACAGTAGCAAATTTTAAAAAGGCCTAAAGGAGGTTTTACAGGGCAAGTGGGGGGACAGAAACATTAATCATCCTAAGAAAAAATTACAAAACTAGTAACTGGTAAGTGCTATATAAGAGAAAGAAAGGATTATTCAGTAGAGTATTACAGGAGAATCTAAATTAGACTAGGGGCTCAGGTGAGATTTGTCTTAGGAAATGACATTTAGGCAGACATCTGAAAGGTAAGAAGGAATCAGCCAGGTAAAGAAGGTGGGGAGGTAGGAATGAATAGGAGATGTAGTCAGACAAATGGGAGAATGAATGAAGCAAGATTATGCTGAAGAAAGCCAACTCGTACAGGGCCTTTTAAAAAATAACGTGGTTATGGACTGAAGATGAAAGAGCCTCCTTTTACTGAATTCTAAAACCACATTCTCTCCTACTTTGTCGGCCACTCCTTTTTACCACCTTTGCTGTCTGCCCCTTCTTTAGTCATCTTATAAATGGTGGAGTCCCTCAAATGGTGTCATAAGACCTCTTCTCACCAAATTCTTTCTCCTAGAAGAGTTCTTCTATGCCCATGGCTTTAAATATATCTACATCTGACTTCCAAACCACTCTTGTTTTAAGCTACTCAATCCAGCAAATACTAATTGAGCATCTTTTATGTTCAAGGCACTGGTCTTGCCCTGGGGATACAGCAATGAAGAAAACCTAGTTCCTCTCTTCAATGGAACTGAAGGATGTACAGGGTGGAGAAAGGGTCAAGAAGCAACTAAACCAAGGAAGTAAATTTATGGTCCAGGAGGTGCTGGTAAGAGCAACGGAAGGAGTGAAGGTAAGAGCTACGGAGAAAAAGCAGGGTAAAGGGGATCGGGAGTGAAGGCTATAGGAGGAGGAGGAGGAGTGTAGAAACCTGCCATTTTATTATTTTTTTAAAGATTTTATTTATTTGACAGAGAGAGACACAGCAAGAGAGGCAGAGGGAGAAGCAGGCTTCCCGCTGAGCAGGGAGCCAGATGTGGGGCTCGATCCCAGGATCCCAGGACCACGACCCGAGCCAAAGGCAGAAGCTTAAAGACTGAGCCACCCAGGTGCCCCAAAACTTGTCATTTTATATAGAGTGAACAGAGAAGGCCTCACTGAGAAAGCCATGTCTCAGCAAGTATCTGAAGGAAGTGAGTGAGGCACAGAAATATCCAAGAGCTCCCCAGCCAAAAAGACCAGCAATTTGCAAAGGCCATGTAAGTCATGTTTGCTATGTTCGAGGAACAGCCAGGAAGCCAATGCCTATGGTGAGTAGTTTGGGAGGGAGGTGTGTGAGAAAATGAAGTTAGAGAAAGTGAGGGTGAAAGAAATGGTGGGAGAGGGGTATATATGTGTATGTATTATACAAGGCTTTGATGCCACTGTAAGTACTTTGGTTTTAACCGAATGAATTGGGTAGTTGTTGGAAGCCTTCCCCGAGGAATGACTAGAGGTGATTTGTGTTTTGTTTATTTATTTATTTTTTATTCCTATGTTAATCCCCGTGATTTGTGTTTTAAGAAGATTCTGGGACTAGATCGTAGCAGGGAGGTGCAAAATCTGAAGACAGACCAGTTAGGAGGCCAATGCCAAGAATTTACAATGGACAAGAAACATAGCCTAAACTAGGATGGTAGGTGGTGAGAACTGGCTGGAGTGTGGATAGGTTTGGAAATGAGACCAACAGGATTGGCAATGATTTGGATGTAGGATATAAAGAATGGGAACCAGAACACCAAGCTTTTCAACTTGAGCGACAGAATTTCATTGCCACTTATTGAAATGTGGAAGCATGTAGGAAAAGCAAGGGGAGGGTGAGAAGGGATATTAAGAGTTCACTTTCGGAAAAGTTTAAGATGTGATTATAAGATGTCAAATAGACATTTAAGTAAATGAGTGGAGTTCAAAGGAGAGGTCAAGGCTAGAAAGACACTCAGATGTCATTAGAATAAAGATGATAATGTAAAGTCATGACAATAGCATTCAAGCAGGGAGTGTGAAAGGATCTGAGAAACAAGCTCTGGGAGCAATGACTAGTGGTTGTAGAGATGAGAACAGCAGCAAAAGAAATCAAAAAGGAGGAGCCACTAAGGTAGGAAAACTGAGAGGGTGGTGTCAAGAGGTCAAGTGAAGAAATTAGTTCCAGATCTCCTGTTGTACTTAGGATAAAGTCCAAAATCTAGACATAGACTGTATGTCACTTCTTTCAGAAGCCTGGTAGCAAAATACTTCCATACAAATCCAATCATATTTTTAAAAAATACAGAAGATAAAACTCTAAGAAAAAAAAAAAACGAAAGAGGAATTACATCATCACGACTCATCTGTTAGTCTGTAAGTCCACATAATGTTCTGGCTTGACCTTTATAACTTCTGGAAATTTATTTCACAGCCTTTCATCTACCAAAAAAACTTCTTTAAGAGTGACAAAGTAACCAAATTTCTGGTGGCAATGTGAAATAAACACACAATACAATGTATTCAAAAGCTGTTAACCTGTTCATATTCTTTGATTCAGGAATTCTTTCAAGAGTTGTTCCTAAGGAAATAAAGATGTACGCAAAGACTACTAAAAGGATGCTCACAATAGCACAAAAAAATAACAAGAAAAATTAGAAACTGGCTAAATGTTTTAACAATAACAAACTGGTTAATTTTGATTCATCAGTTACATTGGACTATTACTAATATATACGGCTGACCCTTGAACAATGCCAGAGTTAGAAGCCAAACCCCCCACTTACAACTTCTGACTCTCCAAAAACTTTACTAATAGCCTACGTTGGCTGGGAGCCTTACCAATAACATACTCAGTTGATTAACACATATTTTGTATCTTATATGTATTACATACTATATTCTTAAAATACCTAACTTTCTAATTTTTTCTGTAACTTTAGGCTGTGCAGTTTGTTTTTTTGAACTGTCATAACCTTCAAAAAATCTTCTGTTTATGCAAAAAAACCAAGCATATAATTGGACCCATGCAGTTCAAACCCATTTTTCAAGGGTCAACCATGTATAAATAATACTACTACGTTAAAGTGTGTCTGGAAGAAGGTTCATGAAGGTTTTTAAACATTTACTGCCTTGAAGTAGCAGCACTATGGGCTTTAAGCATTTTCTTCCTTTTGACCACTATTCTTTGATGTTTCAGGAATAAGCATATTTTTGAACAACTTAGAAAGGTGTGCTACAAAATGAGACTTCTGGAGAGAACCACCTTGTTCCTGCCCAGAAGATGATGTTCTCTCTTCACCAACAGTTGCTCCTGATTCGACTGTTGGTGCTTTACTCTCGGTTTCACTAAGAGTTGTAATCACTTCACTTTCATCCTCAGATGTGGATTTAATTGTCCAGAGAGATTTTTGGCTTCGAATCTTATTTAATAATTTTTTAAAAAGAATTTTTGAAGGGACCTGGTGGGTCTTCATTGCCAGGGGAACTAAAAGAAAAGAAAAAAAACTTACTCAGGACCTGTTATATACCAAGCAAATTATTCCATTTTACTTAACAACCGCACAAACACTAGTTAAGAAAAAAGCACAACTTTATATTCCTCCATATTTTTCATTTATAATTTAACAGCACGTACAATTATATTTGACCCCAATTGCAATTTTATAACCAGGAATAATTTTCAATTTAAATTTAAATAAAGGCACCAAAATTCAACTATTTTCCAACAATATGCATGCAACACCGATTTTAAGCTTAAAATTTATCACGGAGAGGTTTATTCTGCTTCCTAATGATGACAGAATGCATATCACATAATTAACCTGTGTGAGATTAGCATTCAAAATGTTCTGTAAGACTTTATACTCTATCCTAGAGAAGGGTCCCAAATATGGGTCTGTACTTCTTAGTAAGCTACAGAGGAAAACGTTACTAGTTATAACCTTAAAAGCCAATCAGGTGTTCCCAAATTATTCCTGGTACTATCTGGAGAAAATTTTTCCCGCCTATCTTCATAAAGAGATCCCTTTCAGTTAAAAAGAAAATTCTTCAGTTATTTCCCCAAACATTCTTCCCTATGGGTTGGTGGTACAACACCAAAACTCAGCATAGTACAAACAATTCTCTAAGGAGACAAAACTGTGCTGTAAATACATGGTTCTCTGGCTTAATCAAGGAATAAAATTTAAGAAATCCATTAAAGTTGAAAACTGGCGAACTGCAGTTTTGCCTGACATACTTTTTTAAAAACTTTTTAATTTTAACTTACAAACAATAAAGCACACAAAAGCTAAGAGTAGAGCTCAGAGTTTTACATGTATCTATGTAACACCATCCAGATCATTATGTAGAACATTACGAGCACCTAGAAAGCTCCCTCATGCCCCTTCCCACTCAGTACACCCCTAAAGATAACCACTGTTCTAATCTCAAGACCAGATTAGTTTTGTCTGTTTACTTTAACTTCATAAATATGGAATTATATTTAGGTATTCTTTTCTGCCTGGCTTCTTTCAATCATCATTAGTCTGTGACGCACTCATATTTAAGAAATTAAATTTGTTGCCAATATTTTTAAAAAAAGGATTTTTTGAATCAATGGGATTCCTACATTCTTTTGAAAAATCAAGAGAGCTGGCAACATTGAGCAATTCCAAATGGGATTAGCAGGAGCTGAAAAGTAACTGTCCCTTTGGATAAGGCAAGAATTACAATTCTGACAAACTAGAGATCTGAATAATACTCCCAATTAAAAAACTGAAAACGCTGGATGAAACAGTAAAACTATCTTCCTTAAAGGCACTGCTGATCTGGTAAGGAAATCAAAGATTCTTCAGAGGCTAGAAAGAAAGTATAACTGGGAATTCTGGAAGGAAGTGAACCTTAAACCCATCTTCTGATGTTTCTGACAAACCACAGTAACCTTACACTGTTAGACAGCAGTGTGGACATAGGAGACAGTGATAGAACGCAGAGTCTAATAGGAGTCTCACCCGAGGAGTTGAACAGGAGACCCACATAGAGTTGGAACCTCAAAGGGGTACCTATCCACAGTATAGGATAAAGATTTATAAGAAAGCTTGAGTGGTTTTGAACAAAGGCAGTATTAGTAGGTGGCAGGGGAGGGGGAGAGATTAAAATAAAGAGAACTTGGTCTCTAAGGAGACGTGAAGTAAAGGGGGAGGTGTTACAGGTAATGTTCACTGGTCTGGCTTAAGACAATTACAGACTGTGGTATCATTCACTAACATGAAGAAGACAAGGGAGGTTTAAATGTATAGTCAGACAGGGAGCTTTAAGTAGCTGTGAGACAGCCAAGTGAAAGAATTAAGAATGGTGGGCAGAGAGGTGAAGTTTAGAAGAGAGACTGAAGTTTGTGTTACTCATTATTGTTCATGAAGTACTTAGCAGTAATTAACATAGCAGGATCTTTGCTGATTTGATGGAAGTCTAAAGATAATGCTGAGCCTTCAAAGAAATTCAGAATTGGGCATCTAACTTAACCTAAAAATCTTCAGACTATATGTACATGTGAACAAAATGACTTTCCTCCTATGTATATGAAAAGGATCTTTAATGATGGAAAATCTAAAAACATGGCTTCTTTCTTCCATCACTCCCATTAGTTTTAGTCATTTGTTTGCACTAAAATTAGACCAGATTTTCCTGTTGGCAAATTACTAGCATTTTTTTTCTATGAAATATGGTAATATTCAGCTCAGAAGTTGTTTTTACCGTCTGCTTCACTAGAACATATTGTTTCAGCTTCTGTCACTGGAATGTTTTCAGTTTCTCCTACACTTTCTTGTTCCATTGAAAGGTCCAGTTCTTCATCTTGGATCTGATCAGTCACAGTGGGCAAAGTTTCTGGTTCGAGGTGCAAAATCAGGTTTCCTTTCACTTCTCAGTAAAGAAAGAGAGAGATAGGTTTCCATTCTGAAATGACTAAAAAGAACTTGAGCATAAAATTTTAAAGGCCATTTGTTTTTTAGGATTTTATTTATTTGTCAGAGAGAGAGACAGTGAGCACAAGCAGAAGCAGGGGCAGAGGCAGAGGGAGAAGCAGGCTCCCCGCTGAGCAAGGAACCCGATGCAGGGCTCAATCCCAGGACCCCGGGATCATGACCTGAAGCTGAAGGCAGATGCTTAACCGACTGAGCCACCCAGGCGTCCCATGAAAGGCCATTATCATTTCTAAGTCTAAAATATGAGGGCCACTTTCAAACCAAGAACTCATCCCAACATAAAAACTGCTTTGTCAATACAAATGTATTCCCCCAGCAAAACACTTAGAAGCACTGCTGAAAGCTTACGGCAAGTGAAAGAGTCTTACTCCTGTCTGCGTTGTACATGTCTTCAAAGGCAAATTCCAGCTCTCTCTGCCAGTCTTCTTTCATTTCACTGCGTTTGTATGGAAGCTCAGCTAGTTGTGGTGGCATCTGCGCTACAGTCTGTCTCCTACGTGCCAGGTCCTCTTGGTGGAGCTGTTTGAGTTCTTTCATTAGTTTCTCCTGAGTCTTCAAGAACAGAGGGACTTAATCAACAACAGTTCGGTCACAGACTTTAGACAGTGACATTAACAGGAAGGGAAAAGTGGAGAAATCATGAGGAACAAGGCCTGGAGTTTTCTCCCTGCCCCTTCCCTGTTTCTGCCACAAAAAGACATAACTGTTCATTCAAAGACATTTACTGAAAGCCAGGTACCACGTGAGACGCTAGGAACACAATCTCACTCCTAGCCTAGAGATCAACATGCAGGTAATTAGTATTATGTTAGCATTACGGAAGGATAGGTCGGCCACAAAGTTTCCAAATTGTCTGCTGGTTACAGATCTCCTTTCTCAGGATGGCTGTGAAGTGACAGTCTCTATGAGCTGCCGTGGCTCCTGCAGTGTACTTTGTTCCAGTTCTCCCTGCAGCCAGCAGGATGTACGTAACAGTCCCAGGCAAGGACCACGATCCAGAGTGACTGGCTTAACAGATATTTCTTGTTACTGCACACGCTCACAAATCCCCATGATGAAAGGGGTTCTGAATGTACTTCTTTAACCTTAAAAGGTCTGGCTAATATGAAAGTTTAAGTACAGTGTTTTAGTGAGGTTATCTAACTACATTTTGGTGGTGAAGGATAGTGAGGAAGGATAAGGGAAGACCTCTCATCCCCTTAGTTGAGGATTTAGCCAGATAGAAGTGGGTGAAGGAGAAGGAGTACAAGTAAGAAATAGTAGCTGGAGCACAGAGGGATGGAGATGAAGGTACGGGGCATTCGGGGAGAATACACTGCTCTAGGGTATGGGTAGAAAGGGTATGCACAAGGAGAAAAGATAGTACTGGAGAAGCAGGTAGAGGCCAAATACTAGTTACAACAGACTCTAGCAGGAAACAAGATCCCAAGGCACAATGGGGTCTGCAGCAAAAAGGCTCCCCTGGGGAAAAGGAAATCCTCTACCAGTGGTGAGATTGCACGTTTTGATGACCATTCTCACGTAAGAGACACTAAGTCAAAAGGCAGAGAGCCCGTGTAATAGTGTTTGCCAAATGATAATATAAACACTACTTATTCTTATATGAAGTTTTATAAATTCATTTCTTTTATATTAAGATTCAAACGATTTCACTAAATTAACTTCAACATTATCTGAATATATGATTTCTGGCTCACTGAAAGTATGGCATATTATTCTATTTGAGTTATTTTATAATAACAACTACCATCACCACTGACATTTGCTGTGAGCCTTTAAGTTCCAGGCACAATTCTAAGGGCTTTACTAAACTCATTTAATCCTCACAAAACAGACAATAAAACAGAATTCAGAGATGCTAGGTAACTTGCTGAGGTCAACCAGCTAAGCAGTGAAGAAGGGAGAAAATTCCAGGCGGACTGTGGAGTCCACCTTCTTAACCACTAAACACTCTGATTTATGGAAGAATGCGTTCAGTTTATAATTGCTTTTCACACTTTTTTCTATCAGTTTAAATCTTAAATGATAATTACTGGTAATAATTCAGACAATCAGTTATTTTAATCATAATTTACTCCCAGTTTATAAAATCTAAAAATTTAAGGAAGGTCACTTATAAATCAGTTAAAATTATACCAACGAACTTTAAGACCTTTAATTCCCACAGAAATTAAAAACTCACTCTTCACATTGAGTGTTTGAAACATCCAGATGCATTAGTCAAATACAGAAGAAATGGTCTGACTTCAAAAATGAATCATTTTTATGCTATGTTTCAGGATAAACACTCACTGAATAAGCGTGACAGAAGCTAAAATTATAAAGCCAATTTTCATAATACGTATTGTATGGCTCTATGACACAATTTTTCAAAGCTCCCTGATAGCCAGGATCATGACTCTACCTTTGAATCAATACTCTACAAAGCCAACAAGTGCTTTGCTCAGTAAATATTTAATAAACAGAATCCTAAAATTTGCAGAGTACAAATGCAATTCATTAAATAAGAAAAGTGATTAATTTCTTTTCAGGCCATTTCTGGCTGATGAAAATACTAAACTTTTAATAAATTCATCATTACAAAAACTTTTAGACAGCAATATACCCTGAGAATTGCTGCACCCAACCTGAATTTCAAACAGGAGGTAAAAGTCGGGAAACTTGAAATGACGTGAATCAAAGACTGTTATTTTCCCATTCTTCATACCTCTGTACTTTGAAACCATTTATACTAATCAGTTAGTCCTAGTCTTTCAGTCCGTCTACCAGCAGCGGTCCCAGTCAGAATTCTTACTTGAGCCAAATGGATCTTTTTCATTGCTTGGAAACCCCGTACATGAGCCTTTTCACACTGTTCCATTCTCTCCTGCGCTGCTTGTTTTTGTCGTTCTTCCAATCTTTTAGCTTCTTCTTCAGCAGCCAAATGAGGATCTGGCTAGCAATTAATAACATTTTAGACAATTTTAGAAATTGTGAAATAAAGTGATAACTAAAAAACAGCCTTAAAATCATGTTTTCCTACTTAAATAAAATTAAATAAGAAGAGTTGTATTTTTAAATGCCCACAATTACCAAGCACATGTGTATATGAAAAATATCAAATTGTTAGTGAAAGTTTAGCAAGTTGGTTCATTTTAAACCAGATCACACTATTCTTACCCACACATTTCCCCATCGTTGTTTTGTTAAGAAATTCCAGTAAAACAACAGTGTAAGCACTCACAAAGCCAGTAGTTAAGAAGTCACAGACAGCAAAGGTCATTTAGGGAAGCACTGAGATTTGTCTTTGGTTTTCAGTCAACATCTGCTGCTTGACTTCAACCTCAGGAAGGCCAAATCACTGAACTACTTTAATATAATTTCTGACTTCCTAAAACTTGTACATAATCAATGATTATGTGATTGTTCAGTCAGCTATCATCTCACCAAGCTAACAATAGCAAGTAAGTGGGGGAAGGGCACATTACCTGGATTTACTATTACGCCTGAATGTTCACTTTTAAATATGGGTAAGCATTCCAAATGTAACTTTAAGTAAACATCTCCTTATGTTATTTCATATGTCAAAATTCTTAGGTGAAATGATGATGATTATGAAAGCTACCATAGTTGACCCTTAACAGATTTAAACTGTGCAAATCCACTTAAACATGGGTTTATTCCAGTAAACATATTGGAAAATATTTTGGAGATTTGCAAATATCTGAAAAAACTAGCAGATGAATCATGTAGCCTGGAAATACTGAAAAATTAAGAAAAGTTAGATATGCCATGAATGCATAAAATCTATGTAAGGTACTAGTCTATTTTATCATTTACTGCCATAAATACATAAAAATCTCTTATATAAAGTTAAAATTTATCAAAACTTACACAAGCACTTACAGACCAAACATGGAAGGCATTCACAGTCGAGAGAAATATAAACATAAAGATTCAGTATTTAAGTCATAACTGCATAAAATTAACTGTAGTACAGGATCTGTAATTTTTAGCCACATCCTGTTGCTATCGCAGTGAGCTCAAGTGTTATATCTGCTTAAAGCACTGTGTGACACTAATCATTTCTTTGTGAGCAATTCAACTCTCCAGTAAATTGTATATGGTGGCAAAAAGTGATTGTCGGGGCGCCTGGGTGGCTCAGTCGTTAAGCGTCTGCCTTCGGTTCAGGTCATGATCCCAGGGTCCTGGGATAGAGCCCCGCATCAGGCTCCCTGCTCCGCAGGAAGCCTGCTTCTCCCTCTCCCACCACCCCCGCTTGTGTTCCCTCTTTGGCTGTCTTTCTCTCTGTCAAATAAATAAAACCTTTAAAAAAAAAAAAAAAGTGATTGTCTCGTGGTTCTTGTGTATTTTTCATTGTGTTTATGAGAGTAATACCGTAAACTCTGAATAACATCATGGGGCCCATACAAAGTACCACTAGTGATACTGGAAGTGCTCCCAAGAAGCAGAGACAAGTCATGACATTACAAGAAAAAGTTGCACTGCTTGATATACACTGTGGGTTGTGGTCTGCAGCTGCAGTTGCCTGCCATGAATCCAGTGTGAGGAAATTGTAAAAAAAGAAAAGGGAATTTATAAAGCTATCGCTGCAGCTACAACAGCAGGCATGAAAACTTTGCACTTTTTGCAAAATAACTTTTATCTCATATTGAAAATGCAGCTTTTCTGTAGGTGCAGAATTGCTACAAGAAAAGACATAACCTATAAACTCTAATATGATTCAAGAAAAAGGAAGTTGTTTTTTTTTTTAAGGATTTTATTTACTTATTAATGAGAGACAGAGAGAGGAAGAGGGAGAAGCAGGCTTCCCGCGCAGGAAGGAGCCCGATGCGGGGCTCGATCCCAGGACCCTGGGATCATGACCTGAGCCGAAGGCAGACGCCTAACCATCTGAGACACCCAGGCACCCAAGAAAAAGGAAGTCTTAAAGCAAAAGGAAGGTGAAAGATCTAAAGCTGGAGAATTTAAAGCAAGCAAAGGACGCTTTGATAATTTCAGAAAGAGATTTGGCTTAAAAATATCAAGATAACAGAAGCAGCAGCAGTTTCCAGGGTGTAATTAAGAAAATCAATGAAGAGAAAGGATATCTGCCTGAACAGGTTTTTAATGCAGAGGGAAATACCCTATTGGGAAGGGGGACAACATACCGCAAAGGGCACTTATTAGCATGGAAAAGAGGTGAGCACCAGGGATTTAAGGCAAGGAGGGATAGGTTAACTCTACTATTTTGTGCAAATGTACACAAGTTTATGATCAGGACTGACCTTATCTATAAAGCTGTAACCCTTGAGCCTTCAGAAGGGAAAAGATAAACCCCAGCTGCCAGTCCTTTGGTTGTCCAAGAAGGCCTGGACAAGTAGAACCCTTTCTCTTGATTGGTTCTATAGATGATTTGTTGCTGATGTCAGATAGTACCTTATGACCCCTGATCTGGAGGCTAAATTAGAGACACTGGGTTTGGGAGCAAGCAGACCACGTCAACACTTTCAATATTATATCCGTTTTGAGCCAATAAATATTTATACAAATCTACATAAAACCAGGCAGAACAACAAAAGCTAGATTAAATCAATACTGTAGTCTCCAAAACATTTATTTAGGGAATTAAAAATGCATAAAATTAAATGAAATAACTTTTAGGAACAATATTTCATTGCACTTAGGCCATGATATTTTTTTTTTAATTTTATTTATTTATTTGAGAGAGAGAGAGAGAGAGAGAGAGCATGAGAAGGGGGAGGGTCAGAGGGAGAAGCAGACTCCCTGCTGAGCAGGGAGCCCGATGCGGGACTCAATCCCAGGACTCCAGGATCATGACCTGAGCCGAAGGCAGTGGCTTAACCAACTGAGCCACCCAGGCGCCCTAGGCCATGATATTTTTAAGAAAAAAATTGTTTGGAAATTCGTCATATCATTTAAGGGTGAATTAATAGCAGAATGTCAATTTTGCTAAACCAAAATTTTAAGGGAAGGAAAAACTTTAAAATATACAACACTCACAATAAACATACTCAGTCCAAACACAATGAGGTATATAAAGGATATGAAGAAAATAAGGGTTAGAGTCACTGCCCTAACCTCAAAACAAGATTTTACAAGAATTTTTAGGAAAACAATCCCTTATAGATTTGTGTTAATGACACTAAAAATTTATACAAAAATCTGGTCGAAATAATTGTTAGATTACATTTTTAGTAGTTAAATTCAGAAGGTATAGGAATATTGCAAAAACTGTGAATCCCAAGCAAAAATTTTTAGAAAACGTTTCTAAAAACTTTTCCATGAATTATACTCTGCAGTGCACGAAACAGTAAGCTATTATTAAATATGCTATTTCTGCATCTTGTACATCAGACATTTGGACAGAAATCTTTTTAAGTATGACAGCAGAGTTTCTGCTTTACTTGTCTATTTTGCTGGGTCTCACAACAAACAGTACAGTGGACTGGATTAGAAAAATACTCCTAGGGGCACCTGGGTAGCTCAGTCGGTTAAGCATCTGCCTTCAGCCCAGGCCATGATCCTAGGGTCCTGGGATCAAGCCCTGCATCGGGCTCCTTGCTCAGCGGGAAGCCTGCTTCTCCTCCCTCTCTCTGCCTGCTGTTCCCTGTGCCTGTGTGCCCACGTGTGCTCTCTCTCTGTGTCAAATAAATAAATAAGATCTTTAAAAAAAAAAAAGGTAAAATACTTCTAGGACAAAAAAAAAAATCCATTTTAAACAAATGCTATGCAACTATCGTTGACAAAGGAACAAACACAATGAAGGCCATGAATAACTTAGAAATTGCAAGCATGTTCTATTAGTTGTGTGCATAGAAAGTAAGCGTGGCTGAACATAATTCAGAGAAGAACTGGCTCTAAGTGGGGATATAGTAGACTGACCAATTATTCTTCAGCCAAATACAAATTTTATGACATGTAAGAGATTTTAGAACTACTTTATCAGGATTCAAGCAAAATATGATAGCACTCATACATGTTAAAAAGGCTGACTGAACACATGAAAATAATTTATTTGCAGAAAGCTGCTAAAAAAATCACCATGGGGGCGCGTGGGTGGCTCAGTTGTTAAGCATCTGCCTTCGGCTCAGGTCATGATCCCAGGGTCCTGGGATCGAGCCCCGCATCGGGCTCCTGCTCAGCAGGAAGCCTGCTTCTCCCTCTCCCACTCCCCCTGCTTGTGTTGCCTCTCTCGCTGTCTCTCTCTCTGTCAAATAAATAAATAAGGGGCGCCTGGGTGGCTCAGTCGTTAAGCGTCTGCCTTCGGCTCAGGTCATGATTCCAGGTCCTGGGATTGAGCCCCACATCGGGCTCCCTGCTCGGCAGGAAGCCTGCTTCTCCCTCTCCCACTCCCCCTGCTTGTATTCCCTCTCTCGCTGTGTCTCTCTCTGTCAAACAAACAAACAAACAAATAAATAAATAAAATCTTTAAAAAAATAAAAAAAAGAAATCACCAACCACGTATGCCGAGAGAGCAAGTATTTTTTGCATGATTCCTGCTGTAAAGATCCTATTATTCTACTCCAGAAAAGATGCTAAATTATTGTGCATGTGATATAAGCTTAGATGCAGATGAAAAGTCTGAAGTAATTTTATTATCTGGAAAACCAAACACATTGCTCCACGAGGTTTAAAAGAGACAGATTTTTCTCAAGTGATGGTATAAAGTAGCAAATAAAGAAAATATCAGAATGCTTCAGTTTGTGGGACTGTTTTAATAAAACTGCATTATACTACTGATCCAATCTTCAAGCCAGAAACTGAAGAGGAGAGAGGTCTTTTAGTTACGATCAAAGAGAAAAGTTTAATAACTTACTGTAAGACTATCAGTGGTACCCTATACTATAGCTAGGTAAACACACATTTTTCTTCATCAATATTACTTGAGAGAGAACTATTTAGTACTGCAAAAGGTAATGTAGTAACCACAAAAACAAGTTAGCTACAGACTGAAGTTATTGTTTTTTGTTATAGTAATATTCAAGTTGTAATAATAATTTATGATTTTAAACAAATCAAGATTTATTCTTATTTCTTGGAAGTTAATTCTACAATGAGAATACTCATCTTAGGTCTTGATGAATAGCGATTTTAACAACTGCCATTAAGCAGGTAACCAAAATGTGTATTTGCTGTGATCTAAACTCCACAGGAAAGCTATATTGAGAAAGTCAGTTTTCCCAGGAGCCAAATATATCCAACATGAAAAGAAACTAAAATCCAGTTACAAAGAAATAGCAATTTCAATAACAAGGATTATCATTTATCACTCTTGAGACTGGCAATAATTTCTAAACCATAATCATCCATACAAGGGAATGGAGAAAGGTATGATAAGATGGTCATTCTCATAAGTTGCCGATACTTTTTACAAAGCAATTTAATGATCCATATCCAATTTAATGACTGTATCAAATGTTACATAGTTTGGAACCAGTAATTTCTCTTCTAGGAGTCTACTCTAAACATACCTCAGAGTTGTAGACAAAAATGTACAAGATTATGTTTGCATCATTTACAGAAATAAAAAGAAATGAACAAAAGAATAGTTAAATCTATGATGAGCTATTAAGTGTCTATAAAAAATTATGTTTTGAAAAGTGTGCATATGTTTATATATAAAGGCTACAATGAATTCATTAATGTATTAATCACATTACTTTTAGGTGATGGAATTGTAGTTGTTTTTCCTATAGTTTATGATTATGTGTATAGTTCCAAATTTTTCATAGAGAATATGTACAGATATAACTCACTTCAATGAACAGAGAAACAAAGTGCAGATTATGAACAACAGTAAGTCAATCACCTGCTTTGTGTCCATCTCTCTATTCACAAAAGTGCAAAGATGATGATAGGTGGATCTACCGGTTTTCACATTAGAAGTTCTCTTTAGTTCAATGTTCTGAAAAAGGAACACAGACAATGGAGTATTAGGTTAACAGTATTTTCAATTAAAGCTGGACGCCCCCCCCAAAAAACTGGACCCAATAAAAAAAAGTAATTTTGTTTTTAATCAGTTATCCTTATTCATTTTTCTCTACATGGGCTGTATTTCCATTACCTGGAATGTAGGTTTAAAAGCTAGAGTATACTTAGGCAAGAATACTAACTCGGGGATGCTGTATAGTTTACTACACCACAGCAGGAGGCAGAGTGGCAAGCTGCTCTCCTATTATGGATTCTAAGTTTGATCACTTGGTTATGCTAGTGCATGCCAAGTGATGAGAAAGTTGTCTTTTCTTTTTTCAAACAGAAGTAGGACAATGAATAAACGTAGAAGGATGACAGATACCTGTCTGGTGCCAAAGTATCACCTCCCAGATTACTAGATAATTGAAAAGAGAAAAATAGACCTTTATGATAGAGATCTCTTGTAATCACCACCATAACCAAATGAGACAAATACAGAATATGAGAAACTAGTCTCTTCAAAAAGTCTGAAATAAAAAAGTTGACCCAGGTTGCGTGAGATAATTCCGAGAGAGTAAGACAAATCAAGCAGAAGCAACGGGTGAAGCCCGACTGGATCCTGGTTTAAAAAAGAAGTTGTAAAATAAAACAATTTAGGGACAACTGGAGAATCTTGATTACGGACTGTGTATTAAGTGGTATTAAGAAATCAATGTTAGGGCACCTGGGTGGCTCAGTTGGTTAAACGACTGCCTTCAGCTCAGGTCATGATCCCAGGGTCCTGGGATCGAGTCCCGCATCGGGCTCCCTGCTCTGTGGGGAGCCTGCTTCTCCCTCTCCCACT